ATGATTATAATGTTATGTCATTTATTTAATTTTCAGTATAACAAATTTAAAATTTTGGTGCTCCAGTAATACAGTAATTCAAAAAACATTAGCTTTATTGAATGATCTTTCAGTTGGTTTTTCTAGTGTTAGAAAATTAGTAAAACTTGATGAAATTCAGTTCCTATTAAACAATCATACAGTAATTTCAAATATTTACATACATTTAGTAATACATTTTTAATTTTAAAAAATGATAAATTATTTTTAACAGAGTGAACATTTTCCTTTATTGGGTAACACATTTAGTGTTAAAGATATGAGACATCGATCATCGTTTTACACTTCATTGGGTAGACTCCTTATGATTGATTTATTGGAAGATGAAGATAAATTTGATAATTTTATGATACCTCTAACAGGTAAATGTATTTGATCAATATAATTAATACTGTATATTCAATTAACTATCGTTATTCATTTTTTTAAACATAGCATCTGTTGAGTCAATAGGAGCTTTATTAGCTACAGTTAATGGTGTAAATGATACATCAGTATATTCAAATATTGAAGCCAAAAAAGCTCTAATTGGCCTAATTAGAGACCTTAGAGGCTTGGCTTTTTCATTCAATACTAAGACATCATTTATGTTATTGTTTGAATGGTTATATCCTTCATATACACCAATTTTACTGCGAGCAATGGAACTATGGTATGCTGATCCTGAAATTACAACTCCATTATTAAAACTCTATGCGGAATTGGCTTTGAATCGTTCACAAAGACTTCAAGTTGATGTGTCTTCTCCGAATGGAATATTATTATTCCGTGAAGCTAGTAAAGTTGTTTGTACCTATGGTGAGAATTTCTTAAGCTTTTTATTTTTGTAAACAATATAAACATTGATATTTTTTACAGGAAATAATATTTTAAATCTTGATGTTCAACAAGATATGTTATATAAAAAAAAGTTAAAAGGAATATCTATTTGTTTTTCAATGTTAAAAGCAGCATTATGTGGAAACTATGTCAACTTTGGTGTTTTTAAACTTTATGGTGATGACACTTTAGAAAATGCTCTTAATATATTTGTAAAATTATTACTATCAATTCCTCTAAGCGATCTTATGGTAAGTTGTATATTATTTGCATAATTTAACTACACATCAATTGTGAAATTAAAATTTGTTCTTGTTACGGAGTACATTTTTGAGATGTATAGAAGATTAAATAGTGTTCAATCCATTTATAAACAATACTTACATTAAATTATCTTTTATGTCATGTGAAGTGGTGGGAATGTGATTTTTTATTATTATAGACAACAAATTCAATGATAAAACAATTTACCTAATAAATGTATGAAAGTGAACTATTTTTCTTGCAAATTTATTTTAATTTTATTTATATGTCTGAATATTGATGGTTTGTTTTATTTTTATAAATCCATACCTTTTTTTATTACTAAAAAAAATTAATAGTTAAAATAATACAGCTCATAATATAATTTGATCCGTATAAGGGTTAACACTCATTTCCTCAGTGTTTACATTTTCATTAGAAAATAACTTGACAAAATTGTATTTTATATAAGTTCTTCACCTTTTGAATCTCAGCATTCATGTTTGGTTTCATATTAGTGGGTACTTGAAACTTTTAAAGTATATTATTATATTTTATACACATAATGACATTTTAAATTAAAATCTTTTCAGCAAAAGTTATTGTATTAACCTACTGTATTACTTATAATAAAATAAATTGCTTTAATATCATTAATTTTATAAAATATACTGAGTATCTATAATGTAGGCTGATAGACCATCTTCTCAGAATTCTTTTTCGTGCGTAATAATTTATTATTGAATTCAAATTTAACATATCCATTAGAGTGACAAATTTATCACCTAATGTATTGCAGAACAGTACCCACTTTTTGATATATTGAAATTCTCAGGAAATTTTTCAGCAGCAAATTTTAAATAGCATTATTATACTATTTCGGCATGATATGAAATAAAATTATAAAAAAAAGTATTTCATTTTATCAAAAAATTAGTGCTAAATTTCAAAATGATCACTTTGTACTGTAGGTACAATGTATAAACAATATATTTTTCTTCACTAATAAATATTTAGAAAATGAAAGCAGTTGATTAATTATTATTATACCACATAAATTGCTCATATCAGTATACTTGTATACCTCGAGTTCACTTGTGAACCTTTTTATATCATAGTGTTACATTTGTTAAGAGTATAATCAATTTGTGTGTTTCAATATGGTATTTTATATAATGTGCTAACAAATTGATTCTCTCTGAATTTTATGATTTTTCAGGTCCATGTAGGTCAATATTTATTTATTCTTGTCTTATAAACTATAATTCTAAAAATAAATTTGTTATAAAAATAGTGCAGCTTACGTTTAAAGTTTTTTTATTCTCTGTCTATTTCCTATAGTTAAATATTATACAGTAAACTCTGTTTAATATGAAAACAGTTGGGACAGGAAGCGTTTTCTATTTTAGACAGGTTTCCATTTAATACAGGTTGGGACTCTTCTCTCTATACACTCTCGGGGACCGTAACATTTTCCATACTAGTCGGGTTTCCACGTTATTCAGATCTCATATTGCACAGGTCTTAATGTATTATTAATACAACAAAATAATTATGATAGCTAACCTATATTAAGCTCTACACAATTGAATTGAATTTCATATTTACAATCATCATCCTATCCTAATTATGATATAACCTAAATGTCTTAAGATTTTTCTCATACTATTTGTAATATAATTTGTTAATTTTAATTTATTTCTAGCACTATCCTAAACTATCACAGACATATTATGGTTTACTTGAATGCCTTGCTCAAGATCATATGGAGTTTTTATCTACTTTAGAACCTCAAGTATTTTTGTACATACTTTCATCCATATCTGAAGGACTGAATGCATTAGGTGAGTTATATGCCGTTAAAAGATACATTACCTATATTACGAGTTAAATATTTCAGTAAGTATTGATAGATATATAAAATATATGTTTTAAAAACTAGTAAAGGTATAATGATTAAAGACAGTAAAAATTAATGGATACAAATTTGTAGTTACTTCAAAAGATGTAAAATCTAATCTATGTAATTTGCTTAGTGATTTTTTTTAAACTTTTTAGTGAAACACCTACTGAATTGATTAATATCATAGATATAACTTATATATTAGTACAAAAATTAATTAAAATTTTATTTAATAGTTAGCTTGGTTTTGACCATTAAAATATTAGTTTGAAAAATATAAACTGTATACAAAATCAAATTAAATGTTAAGTCTGTACGATGTATGGCCCGAGTTGATTGAAAAGAAAGTCAAACACATTGTTAAGTCAAGTTGGTTCTTATGAATGCGTTCAACCAGCATAACTTAATATGACAACAGATAATTTGATTTAAAACTTAAATCAATTAATTGTATTAAATATTAAAAGTAAAGATTGTCAGAGATTGGTGGATAAGGTTTATAACATTAGTGGGAAAATTCAATTTAATTGATGCTGAAGGCAACAGATTTGTGATTATAAATCCAAAGGTTAACAGTAAAGACAAATGAAAGGTTGATTGAAATTATGATAATAATTTATAGATGAAGAAATGACTAAGAATTGTTTCTAGGGATTTGGTTTTCTAGTTTTGATAAGTTGAATGGTTGAATAGAGTTGATTACATTGTATATAATTTTACCATGGCCAACAGCTAAAGATAAACCCTAAGTGGAATAGTGTGCAGAAAGTCACCTTAAATAAAACAGTGGTCGGTTAATTAAAATAAAGAGTCACATAATGCTAGGGTGATTTTAGATTGATTAAGAATGCAGCATAACCAAAAAAAAAGGCAATCATAGGGAGATTTTTAAGGTTCATAACTTTGAATTATTAATTTATTAATTAACTATAAAATGTTAAGTCAATGTGCATTGACTATTGTTAACCTTATTTATTCAGTGCCTACCCATTATTAACACTAATATTTTTTAGATATGTCTATATGCACAGGATGTTGCACTACTCTCGATCATATTGTTACTTATGTATTTAAACAATTATTATTAAAAGGTAAGTTTTTAATTAAAATAGAGAAACTAAAAATATAAGAATCCTAAAAAATGAAATCATTGTAATAATTATTATATTAATATTTTATTTTTTAATATGTTTAATTGAGAGTTTTTTATCACCACCATACTTTCTAATAATTCAAAAATTATTATAAAACTAACATTTTAATTTTTTTTAGGTAAAAAAGTAAGGCGTCGCATGCAACAAGTAAATGAAATTTTTTTACGCACTCTAGAAACACATTTAGGTGTATTTAGACAAATCTTACAGACTGTACTCAACATAATCATATTTGAAGAATGTAGAAATCAATGGTCAATGTCCAGACCTCTTCTTGGGCTTATACTACTTAACGAAGAGGTATTATTGATTATACTATTATCTAAAATAAGTAAAAGCTCACAAATATATTATTACATACATTTTGTTTAGTATTTTAATCAACTAAGGGATGTTATCTTACAAAGCCAACCAATTGATAAACAATCAGCAATGGCTCAATGGTTTGAAATGTTGATGGAAGGAGTTGAAAGAAATTTAGCAAGCAGAAATCGAGAAAGGTATGTATTAATATATGTATAAGGTATATATGAAATATAATAAAATTTACATCGATATAACTTATAATAGGTTCACTCAAAATCTATCTTCATTCAAAAAAGAATTAACTGAGAAAGGATCAGCAATATCCATGAATTCTGTTAATAATGAAGTTATGATAACCACATAACACATTGGATCGTTTAAAATGTGTCATTTTATTTCTTAATTGTATTGCCTTTAAATGCCAATATCAATATTTTAAGAAACAATTATGGTTATTTATTTATTTTTTTTGAGCCATGTAAATAACAAAAAAGTCTTAATCTTTGTAAACAGTTTTAACTAGAATATAGGGCCTACCTCCTAGTCATAGGCTATTACTGGATATTATTTTGAAAATTGAATGATTATTAAGTACATTAATTATTATGTATGATACATAAGTGCGATTAAGATATATGCCGTTTTTAAACTATGTGTAAATATATTTTATTATTTTTTAATGAACAAAAATAGTGTTAGATAATTTTTGTGTAGACGCCATACCCGCATGCTATATTTCAGTCTTACAAATGTATAACATAGCACATTGTACTTTCTGAATAATTAATTTAACTTAATTATGTTTAATCTTAGAGTGAATTAACCTATAATCAAATTTAGTAAAAAGAATACTATCTAGTGATGATCCTGGTTTTTTTATTTTTCAATTTTAAAGCAAATTATGAGCATTTTAAAATAGTAAATTGTTTGTTCATTTTAAAATGTTCTCTTATAATGTTGTTATGAGTTCGTAAGACTGAAACAAAGCATGCGAGTATGGCGTCCTCTTAAAAGTATTAACTCTAAGACCCAAATATTGATACCCTATAAACCTTCTAAGTTTAAGAACTGATATCTTAAACTTAAAAAAATAAAAAAATTTTAGGTATACCACCAATGTAAAGTATGCAAAATACATATAATTGAGCTTACTCATACTATATATAAAAAATTATTTTTAGTTAAGCTAGTCTAGCTCGCCTAACTAAACCTAATATTTTTTTTTTCTTGTGTTATCAAGAACCGGGGGAGGAACTGGAGTTGGCATTGCTTCTCCACCGGTCCCCATGGTTTATTGTGCAAAAAAAATGTTTTACAACAATAGGCATCCTGGGAGGCGCCCTTCTTCGCTACCAAGTGGACTAAACCTAACCTAACCTACTTTTAGAAAACTAATTGATATGAATGTAATGATATACCCATATTTTTCAAAATAATTTTATAAATACAATACTCTATGCAGAATAAGAAAGGTACTGGACGGTTTACTTATAAGCATAAGTTTGGCTTTGCTCCGAAGCTTTGACTTGCCAAACCTAACCAGCATTGAAGGAAGAAGCATCTGACCACTGTTGTCAAAAACCAGTATACCTTTCTTATTTTGAACGGAGTATAAATATCATTTACATTTGTGGTTGATTTCAATATTGTTAAATTTGTATCAATAAAAAAGGTATTTGAAATTGATTACGTACTGTATCAGTTACAATCAAGAAATAAGATATATTTTATCCTGTGGTTACAACTAGAAAAAAATGTACTCGAAGAGAGGTTTGGTTTTTGGTCTAAAAATAGCGTCTCTGAATAAAAAAGTTTATGCCTCCACATTATTAATAACAATTAAGTAAGTACATCTAAAAAAATTAAATTAGTACTTAAAGCTTTAAAAACTTAGTAACTACTATAAAATCTATTACCTCTTTTAAATTACAAATAATAGTAGTAGTATTTCAACCATATCCTTTTATTTTAGTTACAATAGTAATAATTACATCATTAATAAATTATCACAGTATTGTAGAAAAACCCTAATTATATGTTAATATAATCCATATTATCATTAAGTAATTAACCATAGCAATGGTATACAAAAATAGTGTAATATATAACTTGATCAATATAATAAAAAAATAAATTTTAATACTTAATAATTAAACTTTAGTTTCAGTATGTTGTGAAAGGGCAACTTCTCTTAAATTATCATTAGTTACATCAATAATACGTAGCCCTGGTCCATAATGGTTATACTCATTGGTATCAATATATCGAGATTGCATATGTCTTCTATCCATTTCATACAATAATGCAGATCTAAAAAAAAAATGGATCATAGATAAATATTTTTTGGTATAAAAGAAAAAAAATAAGTTAAATTTCCTCATAGTGTGATCATTGAAATAATAAAACTATTAAACTAGCAAACACTATTAAGGTCAATGAAATAACTACTATAAATAAAATATTAATAAATGTTTGTTTTAATTTAATTCCCGATAACATGATTAATATAAGTAAGTTGAACATTACACCTTATTAGTTGTAATATAGAACAGTGGTCTTATACAAGGGTGTATCTCAAGTTTTAGGCCACAAATTACAATATATTTTGAATGATTAAAAACAAAATATAGTAAAAAGTATTTCATTAAACTATATGAAGTAAATAATATTAATAGGTAATAATAATAAATTAATTACAAGCATCTTTTGTTATAATATAAGCATAGAAAATGATATTAATCAATTTCCCTTTAAAAAAAAAAGATACAAAAAGCTAAACAGGTTACACAGATTGGTTGACTCACATATCGCTTTACTCACCAAAATGCAGTTGTAATATTGTAAATTTAAAAACAATGTAAAATTATTAATTATTTTTACAAAAACTACTTTATTAAGTGGCACCAGTGCACCAAACATTCATATTATTTGTTAAGACCCCATTTTTCATGGGCAGAAAAAAAATAAACCAAATTTTCACCATAAAAATATGAAAACTTGAAAGACTGCAATATTATGTTGATTTTTTTTTTTACAAGTAACATCAAAAAAAAATAAAAACAATATTGCAAAGTGAAAATTCTTATATATTAATAGAAAAAATCAATGCCATGGGAAATAGTTTTTCCACATAATCGACCAACTATATTGCATTATCGTGGAATATTAGGACCTCAAATTAGAAAGTATTACTATACTTTATAATATCTGAATATTTTTTTGACGCTTATGTGACACACAATATACCAAAATTGGTCTTTAGTTTTGACTCATACATCCAACAACAAATCGATGGAATGAAGTACACAGTTAATCACGAGCCAAACGTTGTAAGAGAAGTATTAGGCGCCAAAAATGTGTTTAAGTTATAGTACTACTGTAAAAATAATATTAGGATGATTGAATTCAGTGCAAACCACTAGCTTTATCAGATAATATTATACAAGCACATCTAACTTCACTCATAGAATTAAAATTAAATCTAGAATTTATAATAGTAACATACCTGTAAACTTCATAACGCATAACAATCTCTTCTAATTCCTGTTTGTATAATCGAGTTAACATAGCATTAAAACAATCAAGTTCTGGTAACCGAAACATTTCCCATCTGAGTTTATGGTCTAATGTTTGTGCTGCTTGAGAATACACACTGAGCCATACAGGAATTTCTTAAAGAAAACAAATAGTTAGAACAAAATGTATAACATAATCACACAAACAGAAACTATTTTTACCTTGATTTAGGTAAGGATTTGCAGGCACAAGCATATTATGAGAATGGAAATGAGTAGGTCTTGGTGGTGGTGGAGGTAGAAGTGGCAATGGAATTCTCACTTCTGGTTGATAGATATAGTGAGGAGCACATGGATGCTCATATTGTGCTTGTCGAGAAATATGACTGAAATCAAAATGTGTTGTTTAGAATATAGATACTACAAAATAGATGTAATAATAAGTACTAAATCAATAATGTCATTTGTTTTCTAAAATTAGAAACTATAATGTTATGATGCCTAATTTTTGGGATATTTCTTGAATTTTTATGTTCAATGAATTAATATAAAAAATGAAAAATATAATAGGCCTACATTGAATGTTTATAATAAAATAATTAATGTTTCCCAGACCTTTGTTTGATTTCAACCACACTTACATGCAAAAAAAATGAAAAATGAATTCAAATAATACAACATGTATCAACAAAAAATGTTAAGAGGATGTAACACTATAATTTGTTGTCACCGTCTTACAAGTGCGTAACATAGCAAATGTACGCTCAACAGATCACATGTAGCTTTGTAAGTTTAAAAATTAGAGTGAAACAACCTATCATGAAACTTGGTAGTAAGATCATAATAAATATTCTTTTAAGGATTTTTTACAATAGTTCAATTTTTTAGCAAGTTTTGAGGACATAGTATAGAGTAAAAATGTTCCATAACTCACTTCAAAACAGGATAATGGTAAAAAAAACCAAATACAAGATAAAGTTCTTACCATCAAGTTTTATAAGAAGTCAATTAAATCAAATTTTTAAACTAACTAAGCTATAAAAAAGAAAACGAATACCAGTGTTATGACCTCTTAACAAATAAAACAACTCATACAAGATTGAATTTTTGATTTGTGAAATATTTGCAACTCTTAAAATAAATAAACATAAAACAAACAATAATTATCTTGTTAACTAAAGTAAATTGTCTGATTTAAATAATATTTAAACATAGAGGATAATATCTTATTTTTAGAATTTTTAGAGGATATTTGGTACAGAATGTCAGTGAACTATAGTACTCAAGTATAAAACAAATAATTCATTGACATCCTTTTAATAAAATATTAATATTAATAAGAAAATATAAACACATAAATTATACTAAGTATTTATAAGTATTTAGATTTTATACAATTTATGGTTGGTATTTATTACCTAATAACAAAACTGATTAAATTTAATTATTATACTTTTATTTTTTACTCACTTAACAAAATATACTCCATACTCGTCGCTTTCAATGCGTTCCCATCCAGTAGGAAGACCTTCTTTTTCTAAAGGATGTGACCAATGAGTAGTTTTAGTATTGTGGTCAATAAAATACTTACGACCTCTTAATGTTAAATCTACTGACCAACCTGGTGGTAAGGGAAGTTCTTCCCCTCCACCTGAACAAAAACAAATTTGAATGCTGAATATTTTAATATCATAATACATCTAAAAAAAATTATATAAGCACTTCAAGCTTTAACAAATTAGTAAATACTATAAAACCTATCACCTCTTTTATAATACAAATAAGAGTGGTAATGTTTCAACCATGTAATTATATTTTAGTCACAATAGTAATAATTACATCATTAATAAATTATCATAGTATTGTAGAAAACCCCAAATTATATGTTGAAAACAATATTTATGTTGATAAATTACCAAGTAATAATATAATTTATAACCAGAGTATTTTAAGGAGTATTTATAATTGGAGGTAAGTAAAAAATAGACTTAAAGTTGAACATAATTTTAAATTTAATAACTATTATAGATTTTAATTATAGCTAAAATATAAATATTTACCTGATGGTAAAGGTATTGGAACAGACTGTCCAATATTATGTAAAGCTGGAGTGGAATGATGAGTAGAAATAATTTCATTCTTGTGCTGTATTTGAATCTAAAAGTTAATAAATATGTGCTTCAATTACTATTAGTAATTTATTTAAAAACAACTAATCATTTTAATAGATTCAACGCAAATCAGAAGGAAACATTTTTACCCAATTATTATTTAATACTAGTAGCTAAAATGTAGATAGAAGAAACGTCCAAAGTTAATGTTACAGTAGTATGTTGTAGGTATATGAAATCAATAATCTGACTCAATTAATTAGGTTAACTTGATTTATATAATATAATTTTAAGTTAAACATTGCAGTCTTTTAGATAATTAGGAAAGATTATTTTTTTTGATTTTGATTGTCAACCTAAATGTTTCTATACAATAATAATGAAAAGACAGTTTAATCATTGACTGAAAAATAATCATTGATCAAAATTAGGCTGGCTTACCATTTTCTTTAACTTAATAAAATATTACTGAAGTTTTTCATCAAATTAAGTCTAAAAGTGATAGCTGATATATGAAAATGATACTTAATAAACTATTAACAAATTGAAATTATAAGAATTAAATTAAGTATTTTTCAATGAATTAAATATATTTCAAAATATTTTAGCTCATTATGCAATGCACTTAAAATTTAAAATAGTTTTCCTACTCTCGTAGAAAATCTATTATTACCAGACTTTTAACGATTACCTTAAACATTACACTTACACTAAGTAAAATGAAATATTTTTTTTATATTACAGAGTATATTATTATTATTTTTTTTTTTGATTGGATTTTTCATAAACATAAACACATTTATGATGCTATACATTTTTAGTATCTAAAGTAGATATGAACTCACAGTTGGGAAACATTGTGACAATGCTGGTGAATAAATTGTATTGTCACCAAATCCATGTATAATAACAGAAGACTCAGCTAAATCTGAGTGTGAATGGTAAGGCAAACAAGTGGCGCTAGTGTGTGTTCCCATCTAAATAAAAATATAACATTTAAATTATTTAATCATACATAGAAACCAGTGCCATTGTTTTTCATTATTTCATGAAACAAATAAATCTATTATCAATATACCAAGAACACTTTCCTCGCAAAATGGCATAAGGAGTTTAAACAAAAATCTTGGAACGCAAATATACATTCTTGTATCTCACAAATTATATCACTATAATAAATTAACTACAATATCAGTTACAAAATTATAAACTTGCTTGATGATTAATGTGGCAGTCATTGGAAATATATCTATTACTACAATTTCTAACACTTATTGATTGATCAGCAGCTATACCTGGTGAACTACTCCATAAATTAGCATTGGCAAATCTTTAAAATATAAATATATTAACATTTGCATAATACCTAATTTATAAATTAATAATGATAAATACTTTTGAGCTAAATCAGGAACAGAACTACTAGGAGTATACTTTCCTTCGTGGCCAATTAGCATTGATGGAGATGGTGTATTTTTCACATTACCAAACTTTTGAACTGAACCACTTAGTTGGCTTGTATTCTAAATAAATTAAAATTAAATAGAGCTTAGTTTAAAAATTAAATATTTCTTACATTCACATTTGGAGATTCTGAAACATTAGTCCGGCTGTTATTTTTTCTGAAAGGTTCTGTGGTCCATACATTTATAACTAAAAATAAAACATTTAATTCATCAATAAGAACTCAATATTAAAGTGAAACATTAACATAAATACATTATTATTAATCTTAATACATTACTTATATTATCTTATTATTATTAATCAAAATTAAATACTCGGTAATAAAATAAGTCAGTAATACAGCTATTATACTTTTTTTGGGGTACTTTAAAATGTAAAGTTTCAAATATATGGAAAACAAATTGACACAACTGATAAGATATTTTATTATATCAACCCCAATTTGTGATCAATGTTCAATTGTCAGTATTCATCTAATGTGATCAGTACTTATATAGTGAAATATATTCTCTATAATATTAATGCGTAATAATTCAAATTGTAATAAGTTACATGTGAATGACAAGATAAACAGTTAAATAAATTAAATTTTTTTAAAAACTTACACAAATTGCATAGTAAACATGATTTGGCAAATAAAATCAAACAAAAACAATTGAGAGAAATTATCACCATATGAATGAAATAGTAAAAATAGACGTGAAAAACAAAAGGTTGAACTTCACAGTGTAACATTCTCTCATATCAATATTCTATAAAACAAAATGAGAATAAGAATAAATTCTCCCACATTGAGAATTATCCAGATATCTATTTCTAAAATGAATAAGAAATAATAAAAGAATTTCAATAATGTACTAATATTCATTCCTTAAACAATGAATGTCATATTATAACATATTATTATCATACATTCTTTTATTTATTTTGTTAACTTACTTGGTATTTCAGGTGGCTTGTCTTTTTTAACATATTTTCCAACCACTCCTTCTTTAATAGTTCTTGTATCTTTATTTTTTCTCGACAACATCTTAAATAGGTTAGCTTTGTTCTAATTCCTAAGTTTTTTGTAATAATTATTTGAACATATTCGTTAAATATATATTTTTTAATGTTTGTGAATTAAGCTATAGTTTGTTATAGTTTTTAAATTAAATTATTAATTTAAACCGTATAAATTAAATAGGCTTCTACAGATTAATTACACGGAAAAAATGTACGCGTTTATATTTAAGTACGTAAAAGAATACGTAAAGTATCTAAAATTACTACATATTTTTAATTTGGGTGGTTGATAAACATTAAACAATTCAATTCAAATTACATATTGGATATTAATACTAAATTGTAGAATGTAAATAATAAATTCATAATAGTCACAGAGTACAGACTTCAAAGTGAATGCGATAATAAATTAATAAATGTTAAAACTCTTATCACTTATAAATTACCTTAAATCACGAACCAACATAGAATCACCCCGGACTATTTATTTTTTATTAATAATATAAAGTTCGTTCGTTCGTTGCTAATATCTATATGAATACCTTCATACAAACGTTAAAATCCACTGACATATTACGTCATAGACCTTATGAGGTACACAGACTAAACTTCATAATATAGTACTCTGTGTAAGGTAAGGTATAAGGTCCTATGATATAAGTATAATTTATATAGTACGTCCACAGATTAAATAATCTATGCCCTATGGTACGTCCGTGATCTTGCGTGTTATAAACACTAAACAGTATTGTTATCTATTGTCAGTTTTATTACCATAGATAATATACACATATACATATACATATATATTATCTATGTTTATTACTCTAAAAAGATTGTTATCAACATTATTATTAGTAATCAGATTGTGAGTTTAAACTTAAATTGCTGAATAGATGAAACCATTTCATTAATCTGTATTTACTATTTCTACATTTCTGTGTTTAACACTTCAAGCTTCAAAAATTAAAACGTAAATTCTAGTGAATTGAGTTTAGCAAATAATACGAATTTTTGATATGTTATTCCTTCTTGTAGAGTTATACTTATAACTTGTAAAATAAAATCCAACCAGAAATAATACTTCTCTTCTACATATTTTTTTTTCAGTAATAGTTTATACTTAAGTAAATCACAGCAACTCAATATAATAACATTGTTAACGAGACATATATTAAATTAATTGGATATTGAAATAAGTAGAAGGTAGGTCATATATTTTTTAGAATTCAAGATAGTATCATGTCATGTTGACAAAGTTCAAATTTTGCCCAATATATTTTAAATAACTTTGAACTTATTTGTTTATAAATAAATATGAAAATTAATATCAATAGGTTTCTATTGTTTGTTTTTTTTTTGATTTTAGTACTTTATAATATTGTTATATTTTATTATGTTAGATAAGTTATTACTCTAGTTATTATATTTTACATCATTTTTTTTAATTTTTCAATTACTACTGACATCAAATCATCCAACTTTTAATATAGAGAGATATGAAAATAAAAATATTAAATTTAATAGATTCTACTTGTTGTTCTACTTGTTTTTTTTTTTATTAGAAAATATAATATACAATCTGTAATTTTACTTAGAAAAATAAATAATATTTTCATTAAAGTAAAACTGGAATGAAGTAAGCTAAGGCTAAGATGAGTATAAGAAAATATACATCAAGAATCTTAGTTCTAATGAATATCCTACGTAATTGCCATTTATTATCCTTATCTGTAAAGCAATTCCTAAATAAAGGTGTTAAAGTATCTATATGTTATAATTAAATATGAATAGGGACTTATTTAATAATTATCAATGAATTTATTTGTAATACTAACCTATTACATTATGCATATATTTTATAAAAAGTTAAAAGGCATCAATATCATTCACTTAGAATAAATAGAATTGTTTATATTATAATTTAAAATTTGAATGATTGATCATAATTAAACCATTTATATCTAATAAATACTAGTACCTAGTGCCAAATAGTTATAAATGTATGTTTATTAAAAAATTGTTACATGCATTTTTTTTTTAATAATATGAACATCCTGTATAATTCAAGTATTCTGAAATTATTCAATAATCAATTAGATTATTATCTGTGATATTTCATTGTATTGCCGTATTGGGTGTGGTTGTAGCATTCATTCAATGTTTACTCTTAATAGTCTCACATTTTAATATTTTATTCTTTCAGTTAAAATATAATATATACCTATTTTATTTTATATATGTATAAGATGGCTCAATCTTACAATACAGTCATCATCATAGGAGCGGGTGTATCAGGAATTGCAGCTGCTACCAAACTACTAAAGAATAACTTCAACAATTTTATCATATTGGAAGCAGAAAACCGTATTGGTGGTCGTATTCAAACTTTACCCTTTGGTGGTAAATATGATTTATTTAATTCAATTTGAAATTAGGAAAGTTATCAATTGGTTTTATTGATTTAATACAATTTTATATGAGTTTCAATAATTGTATTTAGTTATATAGAATATAAATCCTTTAAACTCTATAGTGAAACTTATGTTGGCCGTTATAGTCATATCTCAAAAAGTCAAGTTAAAGATTAGTATATTTTTATAACTATTCATTTTAATATTGTACAGTAGTTATCAATATTGTAAATTTAATATTGGTATAGTATCCAACTATACTTAATTAACAGTAGTAGGGTAATAAATAAAAAATTAAGAACTTATTATACATTTATAGCTAATTACTTAATATTTAGATGAGTATCAATTTAACATATTCTTTTGACGCGTTATAGAACATTTATTAATATATATAGGTATAGAGACCTCAAATTGTATTAAAACTGTATGTAATCTAAAATTCACACTTACCATTGATGCTACATAAATATAAAGTAATATAAATATAAAAGATAAGATAAAAATTATTAGTCACAACACTAATAAGTAATCAAAGTGTACAGTGAATTCAGTGAACATTGTACTTCTATGAAGTATGAATTAAACATTTATTTTAAACGTTATACTGTATAAAGTTAAATTTAACGTATGTTAAAAACTAATAATTGATCGTGCAAAAATAAAAGAAAAATTTTAGGAAATTTTGTAGGATGAACTTCTTCAAATTTAAAAGTGTAACAAATAAATAATAATATTATTGAAAAAAATATTGGTTTAGATGCACCTTAGTTCCCTCGCTGATTTGAAATTTTTTTATGGAAGCGTATGTAACTCGTCGAGTTCAGAACAACTACGGTGCAATCAGAATTTGTAGCCCATACTTTGTTTTCAAATTGGTAACCTAATGGAGTAAGAGAATTTTGTGATTTTGCATATATGCTACGCATACACAGGGCGCTATTTTACTATGCATTTCATGATTTTTTTTTAAATTAAACATACCAGTATTTTACGCTAAATTTGATGGAGCATTGAGATTTTGGCCACCGTACTTACTTTTATGGCAGCGTTTCCCAAACTCTTGTTTGGGCTGGCCCGGTAATTTATATTTTTCACCTTCGTGACCCACCAAAATATTTTATATTTATGATTGTGTAATACAAGGCAAAATAAAACACATTTGAATCATTTCTCCCTTCTCTTTGACTTCATCTTCATACTTAATAGTTTAAATTATGAAACGAAAATGATAAATAACAAATTTAATATGAGAATTTCATTAAATTCTGCGACCCGGTATTAAATTTACATGGCCCGGTAGTAGGTTGCGACCCACTATTTGGGAAATGCTGTTCTATGGTCTAACATCAAAATTGAAAAAATATACCCTTTTTGTATTTTATTGACTCTTTGTGGAAAATTGTAAAAAAAAAATAGTATCAAACCAAGAGCTCCATAGGACCATGAGTTTGAAGACCAAAACCGGTAAGCGTAGTTAAGTACTACTTTTTCCCTAATTTTCCCACCGTATAGGTTATGAGAGCACCAACCTAACCTAACTCTCAAGTTTTCTGACTAGAGGTGATAGGCTTCGAGAATGATTATATCTCAACTTGTCAAACTATAAGTTGGGTCACCCATTAGGTTACCTGTTATGTAACCTTAGGTCTGCACTTATCCAACCCTTTCCCGTTAGACTCAGGAGGGGTCTATCCCTTCACTCCCTAGGTGAGGGAAATAAGTTTCATTATAATGAAATGAAAAAGATTTTGAAAACATTAACTTTTAATATTTTTAGACTTAAGTATGTCATTTTTTGATGAATCCAAAATTTGGCAGTTTTTTTGCAATAACTTCAAAACAAAATCCTAGTGAAAAATTCTGACTGCACCATCGTTCTTAACTTAACAAGTTACATAAGTTTTGATTAAAAAAATTCAAAATGCGTATGGGGAAATAAACTGCATTTATTCAAAAAATTATTCAGTGTATACTTCACTTAGGTTAAACACATTTAGTCATGATTTATTTTGTTTTAATGTGAGTGCTGTTTTAATTTCTATTAATATGTAAAAAGTATAAAAGCATTTGATTACCGCAATCAATTCCCCAGTGGCGGCGCGAGAGGGTTTTTGTGAGACAAATGTCTCACAGCTAAAAGGGGTGGTGGGTGGGTACCGAGTAGGTACGTATAGTGGATAGTCAGTTCTGAAAAATATTGAGTGACACAACGTATTAAATAAATAAATATATAAATAGTCATATTCATACAGAGTATAGACTATAGAGTATAGACATAAACATGGTTTATAAATAATGTATAATAAGTGTATTGAGAAAAGAATTAAGGTTTGGATAATTGTTTTAATTGAAAGTACATTCAATGATTTATTAATAAAGCAGTATTTATATAATTTATAAAAGTTATTTTTATTGTAGTACTCGTAACATGAATTTTTAGAAAGGCTAATTTGATATAGAATTATAATAGGGGGTCTGGGGGCATAGCCCACCCACGGCTCTGTGCATAATAAAAAGGTGGGTCGTGTGTGCTACAACTAACATTTTTTTGCCTCACTATTGAAAAAGTTTGCGTTGCCACTGCAATTCCCTTAGTATACCCTTTAGACTTTATGCTTTAGTTTCATGTATATTCTCATTTACTCATTGTATCCAGTCATACTATCCTGGAATCTCTGTTTCACAATCCTTGCTTTTTAATTTAATTTTTTATCAACATGTCCATTTTAGTTATTGAAAAAAATTGACAAAGCAAAAAAAAATTATGTATCTGTAATTAACATTGCCATAGTTTTAAGCTCAGTGAAAGCTATAAAATATAATAATCTCTGACCACATTTCTAAATAATAATAAAAATAATTTAAAAATATCTATATACCTACCATATAAGTTGTTATATAAATATATTGGTTACAAATCAAATCAAATATTTTGAGAGTAATTAATTACTTTTTTTTCAATATTACCAATGAGCATTTTTCTTTTACTCTTCTAGATGGGCACATTGAACTAGGAGCACAATGGATTCACGGAGAAGAAGGGAATGTAGTATTCCAAATGGCTTCTGCTCAAAATTTAGTATCTGATAAAAGAGAAACCATACAGCAATTTATTAATTCTACATTTGTTACATCATCAGGTACCGAAATAAAATCTAACCATCTTCGTGAATACTTAAAAGTAGCTTATTCTATATTCGATGATAGCCCAAAAGATGATTTAGAACGATTCATGTCATTAGGAGAGCTTTTTCATAAAAGGTAATAATTTTTATTTTATAATAATTTTTTTGATACAAACATGGAAATATTTTTGTATTTTTTATAGAATTGAAAATGTCTTAGTTGACACAGAAGAACTACCCCTGAATCAATTTGTTAATTGGTGCCAACATTTTCAAAATTCTTATAATGGAAGTGATAGTTGGTTTGAAGCATCTGCAATTAATATAGACACATATAAAACTTGTCCTGGTGATCCTGCAATTAGTTGGAAATCAAAAGGATATTCAACTGTAATAGATTTATTGCAGGTTTGTAAATTTTACCTTCTTGAAAATTATCGATGAATATTTTTTTTAGATTCTGAACAGAACAAGTTAAGTGTTACAAAAGTAAACAATTGTGTGGGTTTCTTTTAAAGAAAATTTGAGATTTTATAATTTTGAACATTTAATTTCTGTATAAATAATTTATTCTACATTCAGACATTTTATTATATTCTTATGAGAAGGTATTAAGTTATATAACAGTAACTAGGTATCAAAATTTTGAGTGACAAAATGTGGCATTTCAAACAATTTTAATTTATTTAGTTGTCCAACCATTAGTTTTATTAATGGTTTCTTTCTAATATTTTAGGAAAAGTTCAATGATGAAGTAGAAGATATACATATTAAAGATAAAGTAATATTTGGAAAAGAAGTTGTAAAAATATATTGGTCTGGTGATCAAGCAGAAGTATTATGTGCTGATAATAGCCGTTTTAAAGCACAATGTATTTTAACTACAATGAGTCTTGGTGTTTTAAAAAATGTGTGTAATGAATTATTTGAACCAGAACTTCCTGAGTATAAATTAAAAGCTATACAGGTAATGGAAAAAGTTCTTTGATTTCTTATTATGTGTACTTATACATCATTATTGTTTTTAGAATTTAGGTATTGGAACTGTGGATAAATTATTTTTGAAATTTCCATATTCATGGTGGTCAAAAAACACCACAGGGTTTAGTTTTTTATGGTCCGATGATGATCGTGCACAATTCATTAAAGAAAATAAAGTATGTAATCATTATGAAAGTATACTTCAGTCAGCTACTTTTTTTTTCAACATTCACAAAAAAATGCACTTATAAATAAGTAAATATTATAGTTATTATAATATTTGAACTATTACCATGGTAATAACTAGGGAACGGATTTATATGTAATAAAAATATATACATATATATGGAAGTATAATTCATAAAATATGTGCTAAAAACATCCAAATATGTGGGAAAAAAATTTAATTAAATTAAAAAAAAAATACAATTAAAATTATTAAATTATCAAAATGATTTATTGCATTGAATTATTACAATTTCTTTTAAATGTTCGAATATTAAATGTCGGCTATTAGGTCTCAAAATATTTTTAAAACGGCTAAATGATCGTTCCACGTCAACCAATGTAATTGGAGCATATTTGAAGCGCATAATATCAGAAGGCGATAATTCCAAATTTTTAGAAGTGTGTCTGCCACTCATTATATCGTTGATTGTTTTAAAATCAATATAGCCTGGATTTTTTTCTGTAACTGCATGAATTTTCTTTTTTACAACATCTCCTATTGGTCCGCTTACGAGTTTTAATTTTTCAATCGCTGATTCAACAATTTGCATACTATCATTTAAGGACATATTTTTTGTTTCTAATTTTGTAATTGTATGTGCAATAAAACTAAAATTCACTGAGATGAAAATTAAATTATTTTTCAAGGTTTCATTTTGCATAATATTTTGAGCTTTTCCAATAGCGAAGAAGTTTCTGGATCTAATTTTGAAATAATTTCTTTTATTTTCGAAAATTTTTTACAATAATATTGAGCAGCTAGCAACCATGTGTCCCACCTGGTAATTATAGGCTTGGGTGGTAGAGAAAGATCAGGGTATAATTCTTTAAAAATTGTGGTACGACTAGGAGCTTTCAAAACAATTTTTTTACATTAGCTATGAGAGAATCGACAATAGGGTATTCTGCTCTGATTGTCTCTGCCACACGATGAAGACCATGCGCTAAACATGTAAGATGTATTAGTTTTGGATAAAAAATATTTAATGCTTTCCCTGCCTTCACCATATAAGGAGCTGCATCTCTAACGAACAAAAGTACATTTTCGTGTTTTACTCCACTTGGCCAAAGAAAACTCATGGAGTCATTAAACAATTTTGCTATTGTCTGATGATTTGATTTTTCAAGTTTTTCACAGTTAAGTAGTATGAATTAGTAGGCTCATCACATAATTTGCCTATAACTACATTCCCAATGTACCTCCCCTCTACGTCTGTCGTTTCATCGATGGACACCCAAATGGGCCCATCTTGAATCTCACCTCGAATTGAAGAAAGTTTTTCTAGATGAATATCTCGAATATAGTTTTTTCGCAATGTGCTTTCATCTAGAATATTTTGACCGGTATATTTTTCCAAAAACATTTTGAAATCAGGATTTTGTAATTTAACTAATGGTATATCTGAAAGAATAAGTGCAAGACAAAGGTCAGTATAAAAAACGGACTTACTATTACAAGATGTAGGTGTTGACGAGTAAAAGCTTTGTTTAAATTTTTCTTTACGTTGTATGCTTTCTTTATGTTTTCGTGTTGCAATGTGTTGTATAACTAAAGACCGCTGAGCTGTTGATACTGGTTTTTCACACGCGACACACAGTAGAACTTGACCATCGATTTTAAATGTCTAGTATGGAAATTCATTAACGTACTGACAAACTTTGGACGAAATAGTTTTACTAATTTTTGGCATTTTTGAAATTTGTGTGGGTTACAGCCAAACACTAACTATAAAAACCTACTGCTATCGCATGTCAACCTGTCTGCTATCGATTGTCAATCGTGTATAAATGTATACTATATTAAGATATCTATTATATCTATAAGAAAATTATAAGATAACAAATATAAAAACTACTAAATATTTGCTCCACGTGGATCGTCACAGTTCATAATGGCTGTTTTTAATGGCTTGAAAACGTATGAACGATGAAATGATAAAATATGTTTAAAAATATTTACAAATTAGTGAAATATGTAAAAATATGTAATTATACCAAAATATGTAAAAATATGTAAAATAAAAGTAGCATCATTTTAATAGGAATGATTTAAATCATGAACATTTCTTATCGATTCTTAAATATCTTGTTTTAATAAAAATATGCATTTACATATAAATCCGTTCCCTAGTAATAACTAATAAGTAATTGTAGGAAGATCTATTCCATTATAACATTTTTTTTCAACATCTTTTAAGTTTATTTTATTAATGGTTATACAAAATGTAGTGAATCAATCAATGGTGATCTAATGGTCCCTTAGTCAAGATTTTGAGGTAAATGATTGGTCCATTAATTTTAGAGAACCATTAAATTTGATCAATTTTTTATGCAAAACAGCATAAAATATGTAATCGGCGTACTTCAATAAAAAAATGTTTACTCTTACATAATTTTTATTAAATAGAAGCTGGGTACAACATTTGAAACATTAATTGTCTATTTTTATAACTTTTTTCCATATATGTATTGTTTTTGATATTTTATTTTATACATTTCATACAGTTATTGATATTTTTATAAATATTTTTTTAATTCAGAGACGTGGTTGGGATTATCTGTGTGATGTATTTGGTTTTTATATTTGTGATAACTGTCCAGATACACTCCTTGGATGGATAGTTGGTCCTGCTGCAAGAAACATGGAACGGAAATCTTTAGATGAGATAAAAATTGGATTGATGTATTTATTGAATAAATTTTTGGGAGACAAATACACTATACCATTTCCCGATTTAGTAACTAGGTAAAAATATATTATATTGAATACTAATGAAACATGATATTTCATCTGTAGCTACTTTTAAACACATTTCTAACTAATATTATTGTTTTTACATGCTATTATAATATTACTACCTATTGTTATATAATTGTATTTAATATTTAATACTGAAAATGTTTAAGATCTCAATGGGGTTCCAATAGCCACTTCTATGGTTCATATTCTTTTCATTCTATGAATACCGATAAAGAAGGAAAAGCCAATAGTCAATTAGCAAAACCTCTAGTTAATTCCGATGGAAAAAATGTAAGTGATCCTGAACCATAAAATATTGCTGTTTTAAAATAACTAATGTGTATTTAAAAAATATTATTCATTATTTTTTTTAGATTTTGCTTTTTGGTGGTGAAGCAACACATAGTTCTTACTTTTCAACTGTACACGGTGCAATTGAAACTGGTTGGCGTGAAGCTGACAGAATATTGGAACAATTTACAGAGTAAATATTAGAACAACATAAATTTAACAATGTTTATTATACTTCTTATATTTCATTACTAAAAAATATTTTTTTAATTTTATTATATTGAATTTTATTTGTTAGTTATTATATAACTTTTACATGTATGTTGGTTGTAATAAATTTTATATTCATTAATATATTCTAAAATTAATTGATGTTGATTATTTTTTATAGATGTCTTACTTTGTCACTTATCTACTTTTAAACTGATTTACTTAACTTGATACCTGTTCCATTCGGTAATCTATTTTGTTTATGATCCAATTGAATGTTGAGCTTGCATAGTCATGTAACATGTATAATATTTTCTTCATAGCTTTATACCCATTGATAATTCTTTCTTTATTTTCTGTCACATATTGATTTTTAAATTGGTCTTCCTTGGTGTCTTCCTGTTTGTTTGTAGATATCTGTGTATTATCATATGAGTTCAATTCATTTGTATTGATTGATTGATCTTTAGTATTATCATTGTTTCTGTTTGGAGTTTCAGAAATTTCAGTGGGATTATCGTTATAATTAGAAGACTCTGGTTCTAGATCATCATAATAATAAGATGCTTGATGGTCTTCATTGGTGTTTAGAGGATATTCAGATGCATTGTATTTGTTTTCTGTCAATTCATCTCCAGACAATTGTGGGACAGTGGAAATAAAATTATTCATTGGTACTCGAACACCATTAATTGTTATATAATCAATTGGAGTATTATGATTTGGATCTTCTGAGTATTCTTCTACTTTGTGACCATATTCATTTTCTTCTGGTACTTCTTCATCATCCCCTCCTTCAACTGCTTTGAACTCTTGATGATTGTCATTTTCCTTTTAATATATATTTATTAATAACTTTGATTTTCTATAAAAAATAAAATTACTCGGTCAAAGACTTACTTGATTCACATTTTCTGGCACTATGGGTCCAGAAGTTGAAGAACTTAGCATAGGTTGACTTGTCTGGAATTTATTAGAACTATCATTAATTTTTATTGAAAGTGATTGTTTACTTTTATATGTACTTGCCATAGCTTTACTATTTTCCAAATGTTCTTCTTCTTTTTCTTTTTCTTCTTCTTCTTCATCTTCATAATCATCACCTTCTTCTTCAACAATGTCAAATCCTTGATGATTGTCATTTTCCTTTTAATATATATGTATTAATAACTTTGATTTTCTATTAAAAATAAAATTACTCGGTCAAAGACTTACTTGATTTAAACTTTTTGGTATTATGGGTTTAGAAGTTAAAGAACTAAGCATAGGTTGACTTGTCTGGAATTTATTAGAACTATCATTAATTTTCATTGAAAGTGATTGTTTACTTTTATATGTACTTGCCACAGTTTTACTATTTTCCAAATGTTCTTCTTCTTCTTCTTCTTCATAATCATCACCTCCATCTTCAACTATGCCAAATCCTTGATAATTTTCATTTTCCTTTTTACATATATTTATTAACTAACTAATAAAACATTCTAATAAAATAAAAATATTCTGTCTAAAAATGTATTTAATTACATTTGTTGGTACTTTAGTAGGAGCAGAAGCATTTGATGGTAGAAATGTCTAGTGATTTCCCATTTTATAAATAATAATCAAATATTATAATATTATATTTAAAATATAACTGTTTTACCTAAAACTTACATTTTTTGTTTTTGATTGAAAATTAGCTGCTAAAGGTGTTGTTAGAGGTGCTGGAGGAACTGAAGTTTTTGCAGGAGATGGTGGAGGTGCTGGTGAAGCAGTAACTTTATAAGGAACTACTGGATTTACTTTGTAATTCCCAAAAACATTAGGCTAGAAAGATTAAGTTTAAATATTTTTTTGAAAATCATTATTAGCTATCTATCATTTATTAACAAAATTTGAATTATATATAACTATAATTGAATACAGTCATACAAATAAATATAGTTATTCATTCATACAAGCATACAATTATTTACGGCATTCATAATATTTAAAAATAAACTTACATGGACTTTAATAGGTTGGTTGGAAACTAAAGTCTTTTTGTAACGGGCTGATTGAATATTTCCCCAATCCAAACCCTTACCATTACTTTCCGTTGATAAATTAACCTAAACAAAGTATTATAATTAATAAATAATACCTAATAGTTAAAAAAAAATTAATATGAAATTAAAAGGAACTGAGCTAATTTTATTTTTTTTATCTATAATGATAAATACAATAAGAAAGATAGTTGAAAGGAAATACATATAAATAACTATTTTATTAGAAAAAGCCATTGTTTATAATTCAAAAATTTAGATGGTAATAAGAAAATGTATTTATAAACTTGCCAAAAAATATGCTAAAAGCATAAACATTGAAATTTTGGAATTCATTTTTGTGGTTTTTAAAACTTCATTTATGTCTTGCTTTTTATAGATGTTATCCAGTAATTTATTGGCAATTTGTTGGTACTATATATAATACCATAACACACATTTTACCATATTTTTTTTGTTATTATTCATTCATTAGGTGTAAGTACTCAATACATTACAATATTTTAGACAACACATGAACATTTAAAAAATAATAATAATAATAATGCATAAGTACAAGCAGAATAATTATTCACCTATCTACTTATTTAAACATATGCACGTTAAATGAACACATTTTATTTTTTTGAAAGAATACATTTAGATAGCAGGTATAGCCAAATAGCTATCTAAAATCTGCTGTATAGTAGGTATTGAATAGATCAACCAGTCAAAGTAATAAATTATGTGTTAATTTGAATTCTATGGTAAATCATAGAATTGGCATTCGAAATTCTGAAGGAAGTGACCGTCTTCCTATAATATTAATAAAATAATTAATAACTATTAATATTTAGTAGGTAGGTACCTATATTTAATGATATTATTGCTATAAATTCAACTTATTTCACTAAGTGTAATCATATAAAATGTATAATAATATGTATTATATTATAATATTATATAGTAGGTAGGTACATTGAATTAATGTCCACATAAACCACGCTGTATTTGTAAATGTCATCAGTGTTTAAAATAGAATAGCATAGGTACATCAATTTCAAGTACCCATGAATTATATTTTTAAATTACAACAAAAAACAAATGGCGTATTAAACCAAATCCAAATAAGTTAGTACATACAACATTCACTTTATGTCACTCTTTCTGTTCAAATATCTCTTTACATAATGTTCCTATTCAAACGTCTAACATAGTCAGATACGTAGGACTCAACTTGGACAAACGCCTTACTTGGAACGCCCACATCCGTATCAAAATACTTGCCTTAAATGCCCGATTCCGTAGACTACGTCCCTTGCTTATACAAATAATAAACACAAAATTAAAAGTTAAAGTCCATATGTACAAAACATTATTCAAACCAATGTAGACCCATGGTCTTCAATTGTGGGGTAGTACAAAAGTATCTAATACCAACAAAATCCAACAGTTCCAGAATATTGCTCTAAGGAAAATTTCAAGTGCTCCACCTTTAGTGTCCAAGGTCCAACTATACTTAACGTAAAGACCTTACAATGAAAACATTGAAAACTTTGACAGAAGAAGCTGTAGATTTCTACAAACACCTTCATAATCGTCTACAAACCCACCAAAATCCATTGATAAAGAGCCTCTACAGTTCTACACTAAAACCATACCGGGAAACTCCGGGCGTCGTCCAAATAGGGACTGGTGCCGCGACTTGTTATAAATATAAAAAAAAAACCACCGAAGTTCTAGACTCTAAACATCCCAATTCCCAGCCAAGTGTCACCAATGAGTGATTTCTTAATTCAAAATATCTATGTTACTATTATATATACTATACTTATTGTGCTATAGGTACGTTGTACAGATTGTGTATTCCAGATTTTAAAATAAAAAAAATAAAAATTACAACAAAATAACTAAAATCGTTATTATTTGTTTGAATAGGTACCTAATTTCGTCCAAATTTGAATTTAAAAATATTTTCTTAAAAACTGTACATATTTGCACCAATATTTTTTGGTTACTGTATGGACTAATTACTATTCAAATCTTAACTATTAAAATTAAGCATTTAATACATTTTTGACTAAAAAATTAGAGACTTGCGAATTTTCGTAATTTTGGTAAATTATTTCAACATTTGAATTTTAAATGCTCATAAAAAAAATGGTGCATATTATGTATCCTTCATATTTTTTAACTCCTATTACAACAACTTATGAGAAACCTTGTATTATGTTTCCAAGCTTTTTGACCATTTGATGAAATTTTACTGGCATTTATAGTAAAAATCTAAATCAAATTTCAAATTTCAAATGTATATAAATAACTCTAAAAAAGTCCGAAAATTTTGAAAATTTTAACATGCATATGATAAAATAAAGAATTTGGTGAATAATTCAAGTATATATCTGCGTATATATATTCGTTTTCACAACTAAATAAGAAAAATCGTATGATCAGATACACCTATCGTTATTTTACCTGTAAATATACAAAGTCGTTCAAATTTGAACTTCAAACTGTGTTATTCTATTGTCGACAAGGACGCCTATCTACTGTTATCTATTATTGTTTTTAATTATTATTAAGTTGAGTCCCGAGTTCGAAGGTATAGTTTTGGCGTATATGCTTTATCACTAATCTATCCACTAACAAACTGAAAAACTAAAACATTTAAACCTGAATTTCAAATGCCCATAAAAATCAAATTTCCAGGACAAGTTACTTTTGAGAAATCGTGTGTTACATTTTCAAGCTTTAGCTATATAAATATTGACCACTTTAAATTTGTTTGGCTACAATATAGTTTGTACATTTTTATGGTTTTGACTAGGTATTTTTGTCAAAATATAACCTTCAAATGCTTATTAAAAAATGACTATTTATCTTTGATATTTTTAAACGGCTATAATACAAACTTATGGAGAACCTTTTAGGTATTCAATTCTCAATTTTTTTATCTAGAGAAAATTCTAGAGATTTTTCCAATTTTTCCAATTACTTACTCAAAATAATTTGCTAATTTTCGTTAGCAAATTTCTAACGCTCATAAAAAACTATTGTGGACTACGCTCAACTTTTTTTTAAATTTTCATTAACGAAAACTTACGAGAAATCTTGTATTACATTTACAAGTTTTTTGATGGAGCCAAAACTTTTTTATCGACATTAGCTTAAAAAAAGCAAATAATGATCAACAATTCCATATGCCTATAAATAGTTCAACACGAGTCAAAATATTTTGAAAATTGTATGGTTTATAGGAAATGCTAACACAAATATTCAGTGAAATTTTCATGTATCTACGGTAATTTTTGCTAGAGTTACAATAAAAACCAAAATCGATTTTTTCGAAAACTGGTTTTACGTAAAAATGTCCGTATTTCCTTTATTTTTTGTTTGTTTTTCCTGGCGCTTGTGAAAATAATTGGGAATTTCAAATTTTCACCTTCCGGATACACCTACAAGATTCACTTTCCTACCAGAAAAGTTGCTGTTGAAGAAATTCGAAGCTTTTTTATTGCCCCAAACCTTGATAACAGACACAAAAAAAAACACATCATTGTAAAATCAATACATTCATCACTCCGCTTGAATCTAAAACTACTTTATCCAGTAATCAGAATTGACTATATTCTAGAAAAATTGGAATGTTATCAGTTATCTATTGTAATTACTTCAATGTATATTAATTATAGTATTATTAAACCTATATTATGTTCTGTGAGTGGATCCGATGTCTTCTGCAGTAGGAAAACACACGAATAATGAATTTTTGTTTACACTTTCGTATACTTACCTATAAGTAAAAATCTACGGTCAGGTATTCGTTTTTGAATTACTCCAAAAAAACAAAATCGACTTTATCGCCTTCATGTTTTCCCCCAGATTATTTTTAAAAATACTTGCCATTTTCGATTTTAATCCCTCAAAAGTACCAACTATATATAGACAATATCTATTATCAGATACCACCCTTCAAAGTTAACAGTCAAGGAATTTTTTCTTATACATATCGTATACACCATGGCTAAATAACTATTTAAGTTATTTTGCCATGGTATACACCTCACCGAGTACAGATAATATATAATTACATATTATTATGTAATATGTATTATCTGTTGTGTAAGAAAAACACAAGAAAAAAAAAGTACTTAATTGTAAAATCATATACCTAAATACCTAATATATGTACCTATAATCCTACATTCATTGTCCAGAATCTATGAAAGTCAATTATTTTGATATAGTCTGGGCTATTAATTTAAATCGTAAACTATAAGCTTAAATTATTTACTGTAAATACTTGTAACTACGCTTTTAGTTGTTACCAATTAAATAAATGTACAATTTAAAATTATTTCAATAGTAGGTAACTATAAAATCTATATGGCTAGGTATATTTTACTGACATCTTATATTATAAATTGTTGACATTTTTCAGTAGGCATAATTTTGTTTATGTTAGCTATAAATACAATTTATTTAAGAATGGTTTTATATTTTAAGTTATAGGTATACCTATGAATAAATACAATCTGTAAATTTGTTTTGAAGTAGGTATATATGAACCAAGCTTAAAAATACCGTGTGACTGTGTGAGAATGAAACGTGTGTGATGCAATCATCCATTGATGATATTCTATAATCTACATTTCATGGTTATTAAAATTTTTTTATTTTTACTATTTTACTAACCATACCTATATTTTATGAGTAATGGCAACATGTATTGTATTTTTGTGAAGTACCTAAACACAATAACAAGTGTACCAATTTCATTGTTTTTTTATTTAATAGGTAGGCGTACGACATGGATACCTATTTAAAAAGTTGATTTTTTTAATACCTATTATACTACATTATAGTATGCCTATACCATACTATATATGCAATACTACAGAGGCAGAACTAGGATTTTTTACGCCTGGGGAAAATGGTAAAAATACGCACAATCATGAGCAAAAAAGACTGAAATACCCTTTCTACAATTGTTTACTAATAATAGGCATAATTAGCAGTTAGCACAATACGTCAAATATTTAGTAAACATTGACAAATATTTAGGTTAAGACATAAAAATAATATTTTCAATTTTGCATCAACCTAGCCATGTATTAATTTTAAATATTTGATATTTTTTTAATAAAATGCTGTGTGGAATTTTATTTTAAAGTAATACTATTATTTATTAAACTTGTTTATAAGCATAAGTTATTAAATAGAACAAACAGTTTAATATACCTAATTATATGTCTATATAATATATAGACATATCACATATGTTGATTGATAGATGCGACATAAAAGTTTATTGGGAATCAGAAATATTTAAGAAAAAACATCATCAATATGCTTGTTTTCGTTTAGAACTTTAAAAATTATACTGCAGAGTGTCCCAGGCGATTTAAACATTGCGATATCTCCAGGAATACTAGAGTTATCACATGTCTGTTTTTTTTTTTTTAATAAACTACAAATATTTCATGTTTAAATTAATTTTAATGTTTTGGGAAAAAAAGTTTAAATATATTTTTTTTTAATATTTAAGATAGTCTCAATGTAGAGTTCATTTTTTTGAAAATATAGACATTTCAACATTTTATTTTTATAAATATATTTTGCATTAATTTTTAAATTGTATTGTATAGTTGTTATTTTCTATAATTATTGAGCTATAATCGTTGTACAAAAAGCTAAAAATAATAAAAAAAAAAATTTTCATTTAAATCCTGATTTTTAATATTTTTTTTATAGTTTAGAGGGTTTGAGAATTATATTTAATACCATAGTGGTATTAAACATGTGGTCCACGTGCTTATACGGCCGGCGAACGCTTTCAGTGTGGACCGCAATTTTTCTCGAAACCAGAAAAAATATTAAAAATCAGGAGGTTAAAAAAATGTCAATTTCTTCAAAAATATGAACTCTATCCAAAAAAGGTCTCTTCAATTAGTTTGGAAATTATTAAATAAAAAAAATATTTTTAACTTTTTTTCCAAAACATCGACATTAAGTTTAAATTAAAACATAAAATATTAATAGCCCTTGTCCCTGTGAGTCTCATTGAAAAGCTAGAATTTTGATATGGATATCTCCATTATTTCAGAAGATATCGCGATGGGTAAATCCTCACGGGACACCCTTTATAGCGTGTGTCTATATGTGAGTGTATGCATAATATTAATGTTTTTGAAACTTTGACCAATACCTGTATAGTGTGCAACCAAATTACGAATTTGGCACAGTCACAATTTATTTATTATAGAGTACAAACCGCACACATCATACAAAGGGGTGGTCATCGTTTTCGCTAAAAAACTCGATTTTCGTTTCCGCCAAATCTATTTCTACTTATATTACCTATTGAGTTGGAGTTTGAGAACTCTTTAATAATTTTAATTTCTGCAAACATTCATATGTTCAAAATAGCGTATTCAAATTTACAGTTGCAACTTATGTAAGCAAAAACCTATCAGATGTAATAAAAAAAATTAAAAAATGACTTATCCAAACAAATAACGCAATAAACGAATACAAAACCCAAAAGGTTTCAAGAATGACCTTTTTAAAAAAGGTATGTAACAATTACTCAAAATAATAAATACATATACTAAATAATTATTCAAAAATATTCGACTATATGTATTGTATTGTAAGACAAATTAAATTTGAATTAACTTAATTTTAATCTAAAAATAAGTCAAACAATTTTTGGGGTCAATGAGAACCACCTCCCCGGGGTGGCCTCCTGTTTAACTCTAAAGGTTCTCCTCAAACTATAATATTTAGACAAGTAGGTAGAAAAAGGTTTGGCGGAAATGAAAATCGAACCTTTTTCGTTTTGGCTGCAGAAACGAGCGATGGCGGAAACGTAAATCGAGTTTTTTTCGTGGGTACGACTGACACCCACACAAAGACACAAAGTTAATGACAAAGGACAAAATACTACATAATAAGTAATATGATATTTTATCATTGTGGTAATTTGTACTATTTTCGCTACACCACGTAGGTACTAGGTAGTAGGTAATTAATAAAAGAATAGGTAACGATTATAATTTCATGCTGCAGTCTAGACTAAATAGCCCATAAAAAAATTATGCTAGGGCGATCAATCCCGTCTATCTCCACCCCCTCAGTTCCGCCTCTGATTTTACACCTATACTGTATATGTCTGTATCGTATACACATTTAACCCTCCGTTGGTCGCGCGTTACCCCAATACTATTTATTGTTCTACCATCATTCAGATTAATACAGATATTATAGGTACACCCAGATTTAGGTATACCCAGTGGCATAGCCAGCCTTCCCGGTGGGGTTTAGGTGTTGAATAACTGCAGCCCCTCCCATTTCACAACCATGGATACGCCGGGCGGTTCCATTGCACGACAAACAGAGGGTTAATATTTAAACATCATCCTACCAAGGTACTTAATTATTATATTACTGCCCTAGGTATAGTGTACATCCATAGTTATATTAAATATATAAATATATATAATTTACATATTCTAATAGTAGGTAGGTGGGTGGGTAGGTCGTAGGTATAGGTAAGTATAATTATATGTTTCTGCTATTACGATTTACGGGCAATTAAAACTATCCAAGGTAACAATAAAATGTTTATAATTAATATTACTACATAAAAGAATGGGCGTAATAATGAATACAGTTTTTATAATTCATCACGAACTAAGATACTAAGATACTCTTAGTTCGTGATTTTCATTGAATAATATAATATCTCATAAGTCCGGACTGTCTAGTGTCCATATTATATAGCATGAAATATATCCCATTCCCATGAAATGCTATAAAAATACATTTCAGATTTTGAGTGAAGCTATGCACGTAATGATTTAAGAATGATTTGTTTTTTTGTGTGTGTTTGGCACAGGCGCATAATGGACGGGGGGGGGGGATAAGGACCTTAGCCCATCCAGGGTTCTGTTAGGTTCTCTCGGAATTATCAGAGTTTCCAAAACAGTTTCGGGAAAAACCAAAAAGATCAGAAAAAAAGGGAATATTCAAGCAAAACTGGTTTTTGACAAAATCCTTTTCGTTTTTTTGGTGTGCCTAATTCAAAAAAGAATCTAACCTTAGGTTATTTTTACTTTTTCCGTTTTAGTGGTTACTTTTTAATGGTTATGCATAATGATTTATAAAGCCCCTGAAACTGATATTTGTGTACGCGCCGAGTAAAATCAAGTATGCTTATTGTTTTTCTTCCATTTCTATGAATTTATCAGATTTTGCTCCAGGATGCGTCTATATTCTGTAATTATAACCTAAAATAATCAATACATCTATCGTGTTCAAAGTAAATGTGTTTACAGTACTTCGTGCATTACATTTCATTTGAAATTTCAGTGTGGTACTGGTGTGGTTATTCAAATTGAATAATTCAATCACCATTCTAGCTGTGCTTACTCACAATTCTTAACTTTTAAAGCATTTTGTGACAATTATTATACTAATTTTTTACTAATATTTACCTTTTCCAATTTATTAACTACTTTTAAAAGGTAAGATAATTAATGTGTGATACAAATTCGTATTAATCACCGTGTTGCATATTATAATGATGCGAACCTTACGATTTCTAATTCAAAATGTGGAAACAATTTGTATGCATTTCAAATAATCTTTAAGATGAAAAGCTTATTTAGATAACATTTTGTTTTACTTAAATGGTTATGCATCTTGTTTTTTACATATTTTTATATTATTTATTATATATATTATAATTTTTAAATTGAATTTAAACACAATCTATTAAACAAATGTTCTGTACTAACAATGATTTTTGCGGCTTTTGATTTATTGTATATCTTATGTGTTTTAGATGAAGTTAAAGACTAATAATTCTGCTAAGAAGCCCGTGAATACAAACAAGTAATTATAGATTTTACGAACATTAAAGTATTTTGTGATAGTACTGATTATTGGTTGTATTAAATTAATATTATTGGAATGTTAATATTAATACCGAAAAATATTTGTATAACCTCATGGTTCATGTCGAGTAAAACAATTTTTAGTTAAGATTTATACCTTTTCTATACTATTCAGGTTAAGAGTATCCCAATCTCGTATACGCAGACTGGGCCGCCTGGAATCCCTAGGCAACTAGTAACTACTAAAGATTAGTCAATAGATGTATATTTTATAATGAGTGTACATGTATCATATACATTGCACATTTTGTTAATAAGAACACATGTTCTGTGTTTAAGTCTTAAATCCACTATACCGTAGCTACCTACACAATATATTCAAAAATTAAAATGCATGCCACGAATAAAGTAGTACATAGTGCTGTGCAATGTAAAAAAAGTAATATTTTTGAAGTACAACATAAAATTACATACATGATGATTTCAAAATATGATGTTTGCTCTAAGTTGAGACTAATATACTTACCTTGTTGAATACTTCATGCTAGTAAACAAATTAAGTATAAGGAACATGTAGATTTTGTAGATAAAGTGATTTTTTAAGCATGCCCACTATTTTTACTATTGTATTTTCAAATTTTTGATTTTGGAATTTTTAACTGTAGATAGACTTTATTTTTGAATACTTAATTCAGAATTTATTCTTCATTATAATCTTAAAAGGATATTTACTTTTGTTTTGTAAATTATTGGGTCTGATATTAATCCATTAGCATATTTTAATATGAAAAAATTTACTAAGCAGTAATTATTAACTAATATTAATTTACATTGCATACTTAATTTTAATTCCAGAGTATCCATTAACAAAGTTTAAGTTTAAAGTAGAATAGCTTGGGAACTTAACTTTCAAATCTTGATTGTATAATCACAATATGCATTAAGAGGACCCGACACTGGAATTTGTTATCTTCGTTTTACAAGTGCATAACATACAAAATTGACACAGAGCAGATCGTGTATAGCTTTGTTAGCTTATAAATTAAAGTGAATTGACCTATTATAAAACTTAATGATAAGAATATTACTGTGTTTGTATGTTAGTTTTTTTACGATATTACAATATGGTTCGCAAGGTATTAAATACAGCGTAAATTAAAAATGCTCATCACTTACTCAAAAAATTGAAGTATTGTAAAAAAAACCATCAGACAAACCCAGATTATGAACTTACCATCGGGTTTCATAATAGGACGATTCATTCTAGTTTTTAAACTAATAAAGGTATCCGTGATCTGCTGAGCTTATATTGCTATGTTACGGATTTCTAAGCGGAGATAACAAATGCCGTGTTACATCCTCTTAAAATTTAAAACTTGTGGTTAATCATTTGAAAAAACTAATTTTAGTAACGCCCTGGGTACTTTTTTAATGTCATGCCTTGAGAAATCCGAAATAGTTTTGGAAAATATCGCCTTTAAATTTATTCTGTACAGAATTAAAATCCCACGCGCTAGCGCATATGGTACGGCACATAGTGTGCAGAGCTTGCATTGTCAGCTGCAATGGTTTGTGAAGTCAAGCGAATGTCTAAACCATACTTCGTTCCACTAGAGAAGGTACACGAGTCGCTCATCCAACTGCCCCGTCAAAATGGAAGCCAAATTTCCCCCACTTTTTATCGCTCGGCGGCTAGATAAATCAGCTTCTATTGTGTAGCGGAGTATGAACCAGTCTCTTCGTCCTTTGCCCGGAGTGTTCTTATTCTGAACAGAGTAGACAAATTTTCAAAAATACCAATTTAAAAGTATACATAATTTAAATATAACGTAGTGTGAGCATACTTGCAAACATTCTATATACAACAGTAGATTTTATTTTTCATTGAATTGAATTGTAGTAAAGCATTCTAAATTGATTATAGTATTATTTTTTGTTATATTTTACCAAAATTCACCGAAATATCTTAAAATTCCTTAAAATTAAAACTATTTAATTTTTAATAATTATGTATTTTTATTTTATATTTAGAAATAAATCTCCGAAGAAACAAGCTAAAGGTGGTGTACAAGTTAGAAAAGAAAAGTCCAAAGATATTGTCAAACCAACTGTACTGAAAAAGGAAGGAGAAAAAGTTAAAGTAGAAACACCTCCCAATCCTGAAAAATTGGCAATTCAAGAATTATGGGCTAAAGCTATTCAAAATGTTTCTAATATGACTGATCTTTCTGATGAAGAAACTAGTATTGCTAAGCTATTAGGAGATTACAAAAATAAATCTTCTATTCCGCAAAAGAGTAAAAAACTGAAAGTAAGACCGTATCTAATTTTTTTTATTGATATTAAGTGTTTTTCTAATAATATTTTAATTATTTTTACAGAACATGATTACTAAAGGATTTTCCAAATTTAAGGATACTAGTGATGAAGTGTTGGATGGAGTTTATGAAAAATTAATTAATGAATTCAAAGCTGTTGGTGGTAACGTAGATAGTATAAATAAAGACACCAAAGAAAGGGCTAAAAAATCAGATTCCAAGACTCCAAAATCTAAAAAAGAAGAAGTTTCTAATGATGAAGAAATGGATGACGATGATGAAGTTGATGAAGATGATGTTGTTGATGATGATGATGATGATGATGATGAAAATGAAGATCTTGAAGTTGATGAGGATGATGATGAAGAAAGCGAAGAGGAAAAGCCTAAGCCTAAAGCTAAGGGTGGTTTCAAAAATGGTAAAAGTCAGCCAAATAAAGGTAAAAATGGTTCTAAATTTAAAGGTGGCAAAGTACAGAAAAATAAAAAATTTAATAAGAAAAAGTAAGTTATATAGTTTGTAACTTAAATCTTTACATTATTGACTTATTTTATGATTTCAACTTTATGTAATTGTATAAATTTACAAATACTTAATTATAATAAATATTACTATTTATAATGAATTGTAATTCTTTAATTTTTTTAATTAGTTGTTTTTTGATAGTTTAATAGATTTAAGTTTATGAAATGGTATTTATTTTTATTTATATTTTTGACCAAAAAAATATTGTAAAATCGGTGTAGCATTTAATTAATCTGAGGGGTAGATACTAATTTAGGTGTTTGGATTACATACTTGTATACCCTTCACTTGATGTGACGAGTCTAATACTATTTGATGTTAATTAACCCAAATTCTTCTGAAGATGAACATATTTTGAATAACCTGTTTTCATTAACAATTTTAAATACAAAATGGGTAAGGTGCTAAGATTTAGACTATTTTTCAAATGAGAATGCACCGCACCCGCCCCTACAAGAGGGCGTGCAATATCAACAGCAACGGTCTGTGGAGCCTGATGGATGTATAAACTAGAACCAGCTTTATTCCGCTTCCTGGTGCATCCTCATTTAAAAAAGACAACTATTAACTAAATTATTATCAAAGATATACCTACTGTTTTCAGAATAAAAAAGCAAAGCACATCCAGATTCTCTGGGCAACATATGCCCCTTGGCTCCCGCCAAATATTCTATGATTGGCTATTGATTATTATTGGTTGCAATCATCATTTGCACTGTTGTCTTCGTATTTTGTCATGTGGCTGAATATAGGGAAGAGACAGTCATGCTAACTACAACTGTTTTCTGAGCGCATTGCATTTTGATTCTGAAAACAGTATAGGCACATATAATTTTCTATCTTAGCAATAGGGCACATACTGATACACTATATATGTGTGCATGAGGTAAACAAGCACCAAGATCTCTTATTACTCCATACAAAAAAAAAAAAATACCTGTCAATGCCATGCACTCATTTATTGTAATAGTTCAATTTCTGCAATTAAACATTTAAAGACTCAATGGCTCTTGTTTAACACAATATGAAAAATATAACAAATGACTATCATGGTGTTAAAACAATTAACGTACAATGAAAACATAGCTGAATTTATTTAAATAAAACTGATAAATATGTGTATTGTAACTGAAAACATGGAGATTAATTTCTATTTTATAGTGAGCTTTATATAATATATTCTTTTTTTTTTGATGGTGATCAATATTTTTTAGTTAAATCCAAAGTTTTTTTGAATTAACTGATAATACATTTTATTTTTGTAACATATTTTGATCAAATATTTTGCTTAAACATGTAATAGTGATTCTGAATACATCGAATAAATTATTCCTTTGCATAATTTTTGTTACTTAAAATTAATTAGTCCCCTATTACTATAAATGTGGATTATTCTTTAAGCAAGTTTCGTATTTGTTTTATTGTACATATGAGTCATTTATTTTTTCAGAAATTAAAAATTTTTCTTGTATAGACTTATGGAACCTAATTTTTGTTTTAGTGATGTTAGAATAGGTATTAGGTAATGTAGGTAGTTTGTTAGAATTATACTAGATTAAATGTTTGTACAAACATTAAAATTACATACTAATAGAAGAACTATTATGATTATTATAGACCTAAAATATTTATATTTGTATACAGTAGTATTAAACACTCAGTGGCCATTTCTTATATAATATATAACATGTTTAAAGAAAAGGTGTGTGGTATATTTTAGACATTTTACCATTGATTTGCTTTTAGGTATATCATTTGTTTTCTTAAAATATAGTATAAAAAATATCTTGCACACTTTCAAATGCCAAGTCAAAAATTTGTGTTCACATAATACACACATACATGTAAATTCAAAATATCTTGTATTTAAATAATACACCCCACAAAAATTAAAAATATTGTGTATATACAACACAAATTGTAACAATATGCTACCTTCAAGAACAAGGTTACTCTTAGGTGTTGGTTATTATTTCAAACATGCATAAACCTTTGTATACGCTATACTCTGTTAGTTAGACTAACTTTGTTACTATTGTAAATAAATAAAAACCACAGGTTATAAGTTTCTAAGACCTTTAAAATACTACATAAATAACCTGTGTGGAAGGTATATTATGGTTATTACAGCCAGAAGGACAAATTCTTAACTTCCTTAACAACTAATCCTTAAAACTAGATAGGGTATGTCGTTGGGTTGGAAGTTAGGAATTTGTCCTTCTGGTTGCTACAATACATTTGATTTAGTTAACTAATCCACATTGTGTTACTTGCTCCTTCTTTGCTAAAGTTCCTCCTTGGTCTATCTTCTATCGTCTAGTTCTTACTGGTGGCAGACAGTCACTGCATCCTAGCTCTCTTTGGTTTGCAGTTTTTTTTCATAGCCAGCCTGCTATCCTCTCAATGACTGCCTTATTTCAAGCCGTAGGTTGTTTCTTACGGACATGAGGTCGAACCTGGCTTCTTATTCCTTGTGTAGCTGGCCAAAGTTTTTGGTCAGAAACACTGATTAATTTTAAAATTAAACACAAAATAATACACCTAAATTGTATAATAATTAAACTTATAATATTTCGAATTTGTCATTTATATTGGTTAGGATAGTATAGCTGTATAGTTGCATGTACATAATGTAATAATTATTATAAAATATGGCGATGAGATGACAACAATAAGTACTAAAGAAAGCATCAGAAATATTGCAATATTTACTAAACAATGGTTCACAATTTGTTTTTTGTTGTAGTTCATTACAGAACAACCATAGGAAATTTACATATTTACCAAACTTTCATATTTAATTTGTTAACACTTGATATAGTTCTCTAAATATTTTTCTCCTTTTAGTCTATTTGTAAGTCATCTGAATCGTACATTTATTTTTAATAAACGTTAATAAAAAAAAATGTTTTTGGTCAAAAATCTTGAAAATGTAGTAGAAGATTCCACATAAGTCATAACTTGTTCATTTAGCAACTTACAAATATCAAAAACATAAAGTTTTTATCTCTCACATTTTTAAAAAAATATTGTAAATGCTAACTGCTCAGTATACCAAGTCCATGTGTGTCCTTTCACTTAATATAGTTAGCACTGAACCTAGTGTGCTAATGATTAAGATGTCATTGCTTATTAATATAAATTAACAAAAAACAATAAACTTTAAAATACAAACTGGGTCTGATTAAGAAGTCGGCCGCCAGTAGGCTAGGGTTGATTTGGTGCCCCTACGAATGATTTGAGTAGTGGAGGGGTATTTTGTGGCGCCTCCAATTTAACATTGTCCGATTGGCGCCCTAGGCCGTAGTTTACTCAGCCTATTGATCAACCATTATTACTGGCTCTGATGTGTGCAATGTTAATTTTCCATTATCAACCAGACTAAATATGACATTTAACTGGGTTTGATATATTTATGGTTACAACTGGGGTAAGTACAAGGTAAGATTAAGATATAAAGAAACAAGGCAAAAACTTAAAATTTATCTAAGTGTATTTAGAATTAATCTGGTGTTGAATTGTTAATAAAAATTATATTATACGTGGACTGCTTACTTATTCAATTCAAATAAAATATATTACTGTATTTTGGTACTCATCAATATCTACTAGCCTATAAGGGTGTAGCTGTAGTTAACAGAAGGACCTAGGAGGCAACATAAGTTTGATGACTGATAAGTCTGTAACCATGGATCATTTATTATTATACGTAATCAACCCAATTGTGGACATAGTTTGTTTCTCTAATGGGAGTTTATTTCTCCATTGCGATTTGAAGCATTCTTTTGATACATAACATAATTCATTTAAACGCATTGTTTTACTGATATTTGTGATTGATCAGTAGTAATAATGATCTAAAAATTTAATACATAATATACAAACATGAAAATGTCATATACAATGAATACATTTAATTTACAACTTTTTTTGTTTAATCATATCATATATTGAATTTCCTAAAACAGTTGGGTCACAGAGTTTAAATTAATTACAGCACATATTATATTTTACCTTAATACAATCAATACATAATTAATACATTATTAAATTTTGTTTTTCTGACTAATCTGCTATGAAAGCATCAATTTGTTGTCAACAAAATATTACAATAAAGTAGCTTAGAAAATTGATATTTAACAGTGGATACTTCATGTAATTCCTTCATAAACCATAACTATTAGGTAGATAACCTAACTTAAACCTTTGAGTATATTATTTTTATTATTACATAAAAAATGAAATTGTCACGGCCAGTTTATGATCGATTGACTTACTTACAATAGATTTGATTAGTTGGTTTGAATCTGGTTATATTATTTAATATTTTTGAACAAGCAAATTATAATATAATGACACATAATATTGAAGGCAAATGGAAATCTTATATTTTAATTCTATTCTATAGATTTTTTCTTTTATTTCAATCAGTATAATGCATACAAAAAAAAAATTTTACTAGTAATATTACAAATAGACAATAAAAAGGTGTTTGTGCCTTCTTAAATCTTAATATTATTATGACAGTTGATTACATCATCAGAGTTTAATTTTTTTACAAACATGTTTATTTATATACTAATATATTCATAATATTTAACCTAATAAACCTAATAATGAGTTTCCACAATATGAGCAAATATTTGTGATTGATTATCAAAACTTTTCATACAAAGATCACATCTAAATTCTTCATTTATTGTATTTATATCGTTGTTGACATTCAATTTAAGAGGTGTGTTATTTTCAAACTGAGTGTGATTTTTTCTATGTTCATTAAGACTAGTTGAACACATAAAGGATATTTTACAGATATCACAGTCAAAGAGTTTATTATTTTTTTTATGCATATTTTTGTAGTGTCTTTTAAGTGAAGAACTATTGTTAAATATTTTTAGACAATAAGTACATGTCAATGACTTACATCTATGAGCGAGTAAAATATTCTTGTCATAAAATAGTTTTTGGCATAAATCACATTTAATGCGCATAGAATTTTTTTGTGGTCTCTTGTGTTTTTGATGAGTTTTTAGATGAGTTCTTAATGAATAAGAATGAAAGAATGATTTCGCACATACATTACACTTAAAATGTTTGCTTCTAGTACTTGGTCGTCTTGAATGTATTTCCATAGTTGACAGTTGATTACAGCTCTTATTTACTCGACATTTTTTTTTAGCATGAATTTTTTTATGGAATAATAATGATGACATCTGAGTATACGATTTTTGACAAATATTACATACAAAATGCTTGAAGGGTTTTATATGAATATTTAAATTTGATGTCTCTGGAAACCATTGACCACAAAAACTACACCTGAACGGTCTTTCTACAGTGTGAGTTTTTTCATGGGATAAATAAAGAGATAAATTTGTAAATGTCTTAGGACAGAATTCACATTTAAATTTATTTATACCAAGATGCCATCCATAATGCTGTTGCAGTCTATGCTCTGTAGTGAATGATAGGGGACACACATCACATTTGAAATACTTTTTTCTAAAACATAAAATATAGTCCTGTGAAGAATCACATACATTTGTACATTCATCACAGCTATATTTGGAATATTCAAGTTGATGATTTTCCAGAATATGACATATTATTTCTGAACGTTTATGAAATACTTTTGAACATCTTGAACATTCATAATTTTGAGATGAACTGAGGATTCTTTTAGTAAGCTTCAACCCACTATAATCTAAGAACTCTAAACGATTATTGTATTGGTAGCTACTTCTTAAATAGTGTCTTTTTTTATGATATCTTAAAGATGACTGTTTAAAGAATTCTTTAAAACATATATTGCAATGCAATGAATGAAAAGTTTTATGTTTTTCAAGAGAATTCAAGTTTTTATAGGATTTATGACATTTATAACAATTGAACAGTTTATTCTTTGGAAAAAAGCATATGTGTTCTTTTATTCCAGACAATGAAGTAAATGACTGACCACAAGTTTTACATTTCCATGTATACTCTTCTTTAAGGTGGCGAGTATTTGCACATATAATACTATTTCTCACCGAACATATATTACACAAGTTAGTATAAAATATTTGACGCTGTAATATAACATCGTCATTTCTGATTACATTTTGACAAATTCTGCACTTGATCATATCTTCTGTATTATTAATTTTTAAACAACTTATTTTTTTGAAGCATAATATTGGATTTTCAGAATTGCAATTATAAGTAGGGCTGTTGAGTTCAAGATTAGAAGGACTTTCTGGAAAGCATAAACTGGTTCTAAAGTGTTCAATAATCTCAACACGCCTATGGAATATTTTCCCACAAACATCACATCCATACTTTTTCATTGGCGTATCTATTTTACTTTGTTCTTTGATGGATATGTGACTTGAGTCAGATATATTATGGTTAATGTTTGTCTTGGATTGGAAACTGATTGAATCAGATTTTATATTTTTTTGACTTTTTAAGACATTACAACTATCGATTGGAGGCAATACATTTGCTATTGATGAAAGAGGTAGTTCATTATCTGAGTAACTATAATTTAAACAAAAATAATTATTAAATAATTAAAATTGAAATTTGATATTAACCTTACTTTTCAATGTCAGATTGAATATCACCCAAATTAATATCTTGATGTTTTGTATTTGTAAGATCATCATTAATCATGGGTATTGATAATAGAGACAAATTATTTTCTGAGTCACTAATATTTAAACAAAAGAAGTATTTATTATTGAAAAGAAGGTTTAAAATAATGTTTTTGATTTTAATTGATTTTATAATATGTACTTTTCCATGTTAGATTGAATATTATCCAATATAATATCTTGCCATTTTTTGGTATCAATTTTATTAGTAGTGACTATTGATGAAAGAGGTAGTTCATTGTCTGAACAACTAAAATTTAAGCATAATATGGTCAAATTATTGAACTAAGAATTATTTTTTAAAACTTACTTTTCATGGTCAGAATGGATTTCATTCAATACAATTTCTTGCCATTTTCCAGTATCAACGTTGTTATGTGTAGAACTCAGCATAATATTTCAGCGTCTTCGTTTAATAAGTCTAAAATAAATAGTTGAATAAATAAATACATAACTACATTTTGGTGTAAAATAATATATTATATAATTTTACATTTCAAATTATTAATATAAATGTTATTATCAAAGCCGATATACAGTTACATACTTTTGATAGCAACTAAGTACTTTTATACTTATTAATGTTGTAATTGCAATTTGTATTATCTTATAGACTTTATAATATAGATTAATAAAATGGAATAAGGACATCTTTTAAAACTATTAAAAAATAATACCTTAACATTATTATGATTGACCAAAATTTATGTTTTTACAAAACAATTTATTTGAATAGATACAATATTTTATAATATGCTCAGAGATATTGGATAGTTTAATAATTGTAAGAATTAGAAATACCTATATCTACATATATTATTAAAATATATATACTATTTCAAAATCAAAAGCAATAAATTACATTAATCATAAATAATTGAACCAGATTCTTCCGGCTCGTTGATAGATAATAATCATTCAAATAGGCATTCATATTCAAAAACAAATTAATATTAGAATTTAAACTTAACTATTTAACTAAATAAATCAATGAACTGTTTATAGAATGAATAGTACATTGTTTTCATCAATCTACTTAAATATATATACATACAAAATATTTTCATGTACCTCTTAAAAAAACATGTACGTACCTATTCAAAAATACCAATATTTCTAATATGCTTCTAAAATTATATCACTAATTAATTGAAATATGTGGTTATTAACACTAAAAAAATATTTTATAAAATAAATATTTCAATAATATCTAAATATTGTAATAGTTTAACTCTGTCCTCTGGGTACTGATAACAACAAATTAGGTGTGATAGAAATAATATTTTCAATCTCATCCAATATTATAATATATTTAGTATTATATAAATTTAAAAATTTGAATTTGAAATATTAATGATAATAAAAGCTGAAAAATGACTACCTATTTTATTGTATTACCAATTAATCGATATAAGTAGTTCATAGCAGCTATTATTGCTTTGTATTATGAAGAAATGTTTGTATTTTTTTTTAATTTAGAAATATGTAAGGTATAATACTTTTAATCCAACAAGTTTCAAATAATATAAATATTTATTTTCTGAAATAATCAATATCAAAACAAGAGTTTTACATAACTTTTACTTTTACCGAGCATAAATTCTGTACATTGTAATGAAATAATTCAAATCATATTTGAAATCACGATATTTACGTTTAAAGTACTATTTTAAAAATTAAGCCTATTCACAGATGATATTATAGTAGTTTACTACAAAATAGTATTAAGATAATTATTTTCTTATGTTTTTAAGTTCTCTGATTATAAGAATATTTAGGATTCGGGATTGAATATTGAAAAATCTTGCTAAACCAGTAAAAATATATATATTTTTTAAAACTTGTTTTGAATTGAAGTCATTTTACCTAGGAACATGTAATTAAAAAAAACAAAAAACGAAATCATGATTTTCACCAAAAAATTACATTAACATTCATGTATAGAATAAGTCAATATATTTTAATTTACTTTTAACATATTGTATTAATAATACATTTGATAACGGGTTCTATGCTTAAGCTTCACTATTCCAACATTTTTTATTCTACTTAGGATAAATATAGGCTTTAAATAGTTAAGTATGTATTATAAATTGTATAATTGTATAAAATATAATAAAATGTCAGAACAGCTACTAGTGGTACTGTGGTAGACAAAAAAACTATCAAATAGACACAATCAATGAAGTGGAAGGATTATAAAAATGGAGGAGGTTAAGTATAAATTAAACCGAGTTTTTTGTTTTCGTACATAATACACTTATTAGGGGAAGAGGGTTTAACACCCAAAACCTTCCTAACTAGTCCACTGGACACAATGTAATTTTTAAGCAGAGATGGGCAACACATGACACCAAAGGCCACAAATTATATTTGCAACAAACTTAATTTTTAATTCATAAAACTGCAGACCTTATATCTATAAGAAGTCAAATACCAAAATATTAAATATTTTGAACTAAATTAAGTAGCATTCAGCACTATTCTTATAAATTATAAGTCTACAACAATAAACAAATAAAAAAAAAAGTACAATGACAATAACATAAAACAAATAAAAAATTAAAACCAAATAGGAAAATTACAGCTTTAAAAAGTTAATTTAAAATTAAAGTCTTACTTTTGTATTTATAGTGTAACATACAATGTATACAAAGAAGAAACATTACTAGAATTGTGCCAGGATGCATAAACAAACACTAAAAAAATTAATCGATAGTAAGATTTTGATCTTATACGGACCTATATAGTGTTTTAGTGGCCCATTGAATTAATCAATTCTTTTTTACTAAATAGAATGTTAAATTACATTATATTATTGTTTTTAAATAAAACTACAATTAAAATAAATAATTTACTAAACTTGCCACTAAACAAATCACACACAATTAAATATTCCAACTAACGCCAAACATAATTATAATTATAATCAGTGGTCTAAGTGGCTCAAAATAAGTGGAATGATGCTTTTTATAATTTATTAAGTTCTCATACTATATCGTTTCAACAGCTATATAAAATAAGCTCAGCGATGGAAAATGTGAATTATAAAAACTGGAGATATACCATCCCAACATATCGACCACTGGTTATAATATTATAGGTACATCAATCAAATAAATGTATTATATAAAATTATTTAAAATATAAATTGAAATAGATAGGACATTTAACTATATTGTGTCACAAGGAAATTTTCTTCATGATTTTTTTATCCCATTTCAATTACAAAAATAATATAAATATACTTTTATTGTAAACATAATATTTTGTTTAAGAATTTTTTTTTTTATAATAAAGTAATACAGTTTTATAGTTTAATAATTAAACATTAAGAAAATAATAAATATCTAATAACAACCTACTTTATAAAATGTCAGCATGGCAGCATAACACTATAGAAACTCTGATCGTGGTAATTTTATATTAATAATATAATTTAAAAATACAAATTTTATATAATAATTTAATATTTTTACATTTAAATATAGACACTAAACAACATAATAAATCATATTGGGAACAGCAAAATATGGAAATAAGAATTTGGAATAAGCAATAGGCATACTATATTGTACTAGAAATTTTAATATATATATTATTAAATTTTCAGTTGAAAATTGGAAATATTGTTATATTGGACTATAACTATAATACTATGAAATATAAATTATAATGGTAGTCTACTAGTCTAGCACTCAGTCTATAGCAATAGCACTAATTTATATTATACCTTGCTTACCTACGCTTTAACATTTATTTTGCCATGGTACCTTCCTACCTTGGTTGAAAACCAAAAAGCTTATTATTGATAACTGAACAATCGAGATCTATCATATTTTATTTCATGGATCATGGTCATTGTTAGGCCACTGAATAATTCTGTGGTTAGGCTATCTTACCCTACTGCAGCCCCCGAACAACTTAACCGTCTAATTAAGGTATATCTTAAACCGTGCCCCACACGTCGTCTTCCGCGTACGATAATCAAGTAATCAAAAGGCTCCCTCCGTGTTGTTACGTTTTCTAATTTCCATACCATGGTCCTAGAAGGTATCTTCTAAGATTGTGTTCCATACACTGCAATGCTGTCGTATCTTAGTCCTTAGACCGTGATCATCATGCATTCCGCTGTTATCAAATTATTTGAAATCGTAACTGACTATTATTGCAACTGCACTATATAGTCACTACTGCTCTACAGTAAATTGTTATTTGAAATTTTGAAAATTCTAAAAAGATTTTTGTATTCTATATTGGAGATTTGCATAATTGCATCGCATACAATTTTGAACATTTTTTTACTTATTTACAATTTTCACTTTAAACTATTCCGTGTTTTAGTTCTGATTATATATTATAATGGATGATTTATGTCTTAAAATTGATATAGTTTTAAATGAGTGTTCAAGATATTTAGGTAATATTGAGAAAAAAGAATTTGATGATTCATTTTATAAAATAATATTCAAAGTAAGTGGGTAACTGAATATTTAGTGTTCTAGTATTTTAGTTAAGTATACCTAATTTTTATCAATACAAATAATTACAGGATTTAATAAATGGACCACTTCTTCAATTTGTAAAATCTATTCAAGTTTTTTTAAAAACATTCAAAAATAAAAATGTTTACATGCTTTGTGTATGTTTAAGTCAAATTCGAAAATGTCTCCTTTTATATGAAACAACAATATCAGAACAAAATACTGTTCTAAACTTTGAAAAGGTATGTATGATTTTGTTGTATACATGTATGATGTACATTTATTAAATATCATATATTAATAATACTAGAACTGGCATTTATTCATATTAGGTCTTAAGCAAGTACATAATCAAGCGGATTCAAAAATGTTTTTATAAGTTGGAAGAATGTTTAGAAATGATAGATTTCACTGACGTAGATGAATATCCAGGAAAATTCATTGATCAAATGAATATTGTTTTAAATGTGTTAAACAATAGAGATAATTATGAACTTATTAAACCGAATATCAATACAATTTTATTTCAAGCTATAACTATTGCTAAAGTTGCGGATAAAATAGACAACTTAGAAATAACATCTTCATCTAAACATGTAATAAAAATAATAAATATTTACAATAATACAAATATGTAACATTCTAATATTTAAATCAATTTTTCTCATTATTAAAGGTTTTAAAAGCGATTCAACAATTTGAAGAGATAAATATTAATGAAACTGATAATTTTTTCCGATTTGATTATTTATCTTCTTCATTATCTATCCTTGAAAGAAGAATTAATACATCAGTATTGCATCTTATTTTTAAGGTATAGTATTATAGTATGTAAATTATGAAATAAATACTAGCAATTTTTATACGTATTTTGTATTTCTTACAAATCATTCGTTTTGTGTATTATCGACATTTTAGATTTTTAATGATCCATTTGTAATTATTAAAAAACTGGTTAAAAAGTGTGCAGATTCTGTTGACATTCAACTTAGAAATTCATCAGATTTATCTAATATGATTAGTGATTTGGATAAATATACTGACGTATTAATTCAGGTTGGACTATTTTCTGTGGCCTGTTGTAAAAACGATGAATGTAAGTTATAAATCAATAATCATTAGTTCTTTAAAATAAATGTACACTATTTAAAAAAAGGAATTTTTTTCAAAATATTATTTTTTATACACCAGGATTCGGGTCTTATAAAATTTGCTTATTTTTATGGTTTGGCATTAAATCTAGCAAAGCGATGATGTAATTGTATTTCATGTTACACTTACAACACATTTAATTATCAAATTTGATATTGTGTTTTGGCTTTTTTCAATGGTTTTTTAAAAAAAATGTTTATTTCCAGTTATTCTGATTATTTTTGATATGATTTATGATGACATGTGCCACTGACATAAACCTAGATACTTTAGTTAATTTCAAGTTGTACTGGCTTTTGTTCAAAGTGATGTTGGAACTATAAATCATTTTTTAGTAATAAACACCAAGACTCATATTTTCTTGCTTATCTTCTCATTGGCCTAATTAATCAATTTGTTCTCAGTTATTCTTAAAATATTAAAATTATTGTTAGAAAATCTTTAAGAAGTATAATATAAATTGTTTAAATATTCAAAAAGGCAAGAGAGAAAATTTAATGGTAATATACAAAAAAAAACTATGTCAATAATAGTTTTTGCTAACTTTAATATTTTTAAGTGTTAAGAATGAAGTATTTAAGCACTTATTTTGATGATTAAAATAATAAGCGCTACAAGCTCCAAATTTTGGTTATAGCTTATATACGTGTTTAAAGTATAGTTGGGTGTTATAGTAGATCAAAATTCAACAGGATCTCTTGTACCACACATCTTGTCATTTAAAAATTAAAACTAATAGTAATACTAAGATATAAAAAAATATTTTGAAAAATTAAAAACTTTTTGGAATAATGATGTATAATAATCACCATTTTAAAATATTGAATTATTTAGTTGACAGACATTTAGTTATTAAATACTGGTGCAAGGTTTTTTTAGTCATATTTCTACTTTATGACTGATCCTAGATTAATTGTATTTATTTAGTACAATTATTTTTAATATTTATAAATTTATAAATTATTTAGATGTTATTCCTTTAAAATCGTGTATATCAAGCTTGGAACTTTTGGACAGTGATATGGTACCAGCTATTATTGAGTTTTATTTAGATCCAACTTCATTAGTAAAAAAAACATTTTTAAAACTCCTTGTAAACCATTGGGTTTGTGAAATTTGTGAAATACAAAATCTTCTTGACAAAATCGTCGATCCCTTTGCATTCATTCAAGTAATATTTTTAAACTTTGGTTTTTATTACTAATTTATAGTTATTATGTTTATAATTAGACAACAATAGAAACTTCAATGAATATTATTGATACTATCCATAAGAGTGATCCAAGTACCAACATGGATTTATATGTATACTTTTTAAATGGAATGATTAATTTTTCAAAGTTTATTGAAAAAATATTTGCTAAGGCTCTTTTTGAAAATGAAGAACTCTCTACAACTTACGAACAGTATAAAAATGGTAAAAATATACTTTAGATATATCTGTATAAATTATGTAATACTGAAATGTTTTATTTTAGCTGTGAAAGAGTATAATGCATGTTTAATCTACAATCAAAAAACAAATCATAGTTATAATGATTTAACTAAAAATAAATTACTAAAGAGATGTGCAATTGTTAACAAATATTTGAAGAATATTCAAACTATAATTTCTGATATACTGGATGATAAAAGTTGTAAGTAGTATAGTAATTGGTTTTCAAATTTTTAACTTCTCATATTGTTGTATGTTAAAGTTTTAGTTAATTTGAACGTTTGAATATATATATATATATCCTTTTCTAATTTATTGATTATTTGTTCTCTTAGTGTCTGAATTAGAAAACACATATTATATTTTATCTAAAACAAAACAATCCTCCCCAAGTTTGTTACAAAATGATAACCTTGATAATAATGATGATCTAAAATTGTTGCTTACAACTATTCAAGCACAAAAATCATTCTACAATAAGTCAGAACGTAAAACTTCAAAAAAACTATGTGATCAAGATTATAATTGCTTAACTTCAGCTAATGAAACAACCTATGATAATATTGTTACAATGGACCTCACAAGTAAATATTTTAAAATGTATTGAATAATATTTAAATAGTTATAAGAAATAATAATGTAACCATATATGTTTGGTAGAGATTTTAGATAACTTTATTCTTGAATCATTCGATATCAATAAAGATAATAAAAATACAGTAAATATATGGGAAGAAATAGGTATTGACACTCTTGCAAGAATACAAGATCTAGAAGATGTTAATAATAAGATTATAAGTGTGGAGAAATGATGTTAAAACGTAAGATACTTATTTATTAAAAATCAAATTGTTACAAATATGATTTAATTGAATATCTAATTAGTTGTCTAATTTAACATGAACAATTATAATCTTATCATACTTTGTATTAAATGTTAAGAGGACGTGATACCCGCATGTGTTGTCTCCGTCTTACAAGTGCGTAACATAGCAAATTGTACACTCAGCAGAACACGTGTAGCTCCGTTAATTAAAAAATTAAAGTGAATTGACCTCTTATAAAATCTAAAGGTAAGATTATTATCCAGGCAACCTCATAGGCTTTTCATTATATTTTTATTTTAACGCGAGTTATAAGTATTTTAAGGTGTATAAAAATTTACAATTTTAAAATACTCATAACTCGCGTTAAAATTAAAATATAATAAAAAACCTATGAGGTTGCCTAGATAATAATCTTACCTTTAGATTTTATAAGAGGCCAATTCACTTTAATTTTTAAATTAACAGAGCTACACGTGTTCTGCTGAGTGTACAATTTGCTATGTTACGCACTTGTAAGACAGAGACAACACATGCAGGTATCATGTCCTCTTAAAGCTATTGACAAACATTGAGAATAGCTTTAATATATTTTTAATTTTATTAATTATTATTAATTTTTAAGTATTATTATTTAGTATATTATATAATATTTTCAGAATTAAATAAAGAAGAAAAAAATTCAAATTTATGTTAAGTAATGTAAAGAATGAATAGATAAACTAAATTTACATTTTT